TTGCGCGCTCCGCTGCAGGCGGCCCAGTGTTTCGTTAGTTCGAATCCTGGGCGCGGACATGGCACTGCTCATCAGACCACGCTGAGGCAGCGTCCCACATGCCACAACTAGAAGAACCCACAACGAAGAATACACAACTATGTACCGGGGGGCTTTGGGGAGAAAAAGGAAAAACTAAAAAAATCTTTAAAAAAAAAACTGGGGACTCTTACCCCCACCCAGCTCCTGCCTGGATCCTCAAGGAGAGACCTCTGCCTCCTCCTAACCCCCAGGCAGACTCAACAGCCACTAGACACCCACTCCCCTCCAGGCAGTCAGACCACCCCTCGGTGCACCCGGGTCCTGGCCAGCTGGGAGTGGATTCCCTGAGCGGCACCAAGCTGACTTGTTTCTTCACTCCCAGGGAAACAGCTGGGGGCGCCTCCTTGCAGCCCTGGGTGTCTCTCAGAGGCCATGGCAGGTGCACCAGCTGGTGATGGAAGGATGGCCTGGAGTTCTGTCGAGAGCCATAGGAGCAGACACAGGGCCGTGGTTGGATGTGCAGATTGAGGGCCATTGCACAGAACAACTCCACAGGGCACCAGGCTTTGGCTGTGCCATGCTCAGCCTGGGGCCGATGTGGTGGCCCTGGACGTGGGGGAGGCACTGTGGGTTGTTCCTGTCCCTCCTTTCCCAGGAGGCCAGCCTCGCTCCTGACCCTCCCCAGCCTGCCTGCTCCTCACACCCCATGCTGGAAACCCTTTTGGGACTAGGAACACCTGGAAGAGGGGCAGCCTGGCGCTTCATGGCACCCTGTGAACAGCGCAATCCTGCTCCAGGGAATCTCATCCCAGGGGCAGAGGCAGGATGGGCATGGCAGTGTTCCCTCCAGATCAGTCCTGCCTGCAGGGTGCTGGGAGGTCCCAGGGCCAATGGCAGTTAGAAGCTGCGGCCGCCTGGGGTGGGGGTGGGGGTGGGGCAGGAGGGCGTCTGTGGCTCTTCTCCAAGAACTCCTCCTTCTTTTTTAATTGTGGTCAAACACACACAACCTGAAATTTACCATCCTAACCATTTTTAAGTGCACAGCTCAGTGGCATTAAGCACATTCACATTGTTGTGGAAACTTCACCACCATCCATTGCCGTACGTCTTTTCATCTTCCCAAACTAAAACTCTGTCCTCATCCAACACCCCCCTCCCCCAGCCCCAGCACCCACCATTCCACTTTCTGTCTGTATGGATTTGACCCCTCCAGGGGCCTCGTACGAGTGGAATCACACAGCATTTGTCTTTTTGTGACTGGCCTATTTCACTCAGCATCATGTTCTCAAGGTCCATCGATGTTGTAGCAGGTGTCAGAATTTCCTTCCTTTTTAAGGGTAAAAATATTCCGTTGTCTGGAGGGACCATGTTGTGCTTATCCTCTATCTGATGATGGACACTTGGGTTGCTTCCACCTTTCGGCTCTTGTGGACAATGCTGCTGTGAATATGCGTGTGCAAGTGTCCCTTCGAGAGCCTGCTTCCTGGTGTGTACCCAGAAGTGGGACTGCTGGGCCACGCGGTAGTTCTGTTTTTCATTTTTGAGGAACCTTCACAGTCTTCCACGGCAGCCGCGCCATTTGCATTCCCAACAGGAAGCCCTCCTTTGGCAGCAGGAGCAAAGGTCCCCCGCCCCCTATGGCACCCCCTGCTCTGCAGTCAGCCTGGGAGGAGGTGGCGTGGGGAGTGTGGGTTATTCAGAATGGGTCATGGTCCTCAATTCCTGAATTCTAGCACAATCATGCCCAACTAGTGAGTTTTGCCTGGAGCTCGCCACGTCCACAGCAAGGCACCTCGCCTCAATGGCTGTTTCCAGGGGGATCTCTCCAATTCCAGACACCCCACCCCACCCCAACTAGCCGCCCCTCAGGCTGACTGAGCTCTCCATGGTGGGGGGCCCCTGACAAACTCTCCCTCCTCTTCAAAGGGCCCAGCTGCTGGGGGCAGCCAAGGTGGAGGATCAGACCCTGCCACATTCCAGGCCTTCAGCCCTCCCCTCCCCTCCTCCCCCACAGCCCCCTCCCCCAGGCCGGGAGGGCCGCTCACCTCGGATGGTGTGAGCCAGGAGCCCAGCGACTTTCCCACACTTTGGCCCCATTCACAGTGTTAAACGGCCCACAAAGGCCAGGCGTGTGCCTCTGAGGCCGCCCGAGCTGCCATCTGGCCCGCACTCGGGGAGGGAGCGAGCCTTTCATCCGGCCGGCTGGGATTCAGCACCATTCATTTCATATTTCCCACAACGGAACACTGGATCAAAGCTGCTCGGGGCCAGGGCGGGGGGAGGGAAGGGGCAGCCCCCACAGCCCACCGGCCACCCTCCCCTCCTCAGGCAGGCCACCCTGGCCCACTGCGGGTGGGCAGGCAGTTGGGGTGGGGTGGGGCTGAACCTCGTCTCCCGGCACGTGTCTCATTTGGGCCAAGAGCTGGCTTGGGGGAGGGGACTGGGGCAGGACACAAGCCCCAGCCAACTGCCCCCACAAAGCTTGGGGGCGGGGGGGACCAGGCCTGGGCACTGCCCTCACTTTTGGGCAAAACTCTGAGGCCCCCATTGCCAGCTGCCAGGTGGTCAGGGTGCGAGTGGGCTGGAGCCTGTTTCCCGACGGTGGAGGCTGTGGCCAGGGCCAGGGTGGGCCTGGCACTTGTCCCTTGTCCCTGCATTCTCTCAGCCCTTGGCTAAGCACCTCCTCAGTGCTGGAACCCAGGCTGGCAGGTTCCGGGCTATGGGGACACAGAGAACTAGGTCATCCCACCCTCCCCACCCAGCCCACCTCCCAGGAGCCCATTAGCCGGCAAGGGACACACAAAAATGTGCCGGCCATCCAGCACAAGCACTACTTAGGCTGGAAAAATGCTCCACCGAGCATCACTGGGTCCCACTTGCAGCCTGTGGGACCTGCCAGCCCACGTCGACAGCACCAGCCACTGTCAGTGCCCAGCTGTGGAGCAGAGAGGCAGGCCCTGGCCTCTGGGTGCCCATCTCCAGCTTGCCCAGGTGCCCTCTGCCGTTTTGCATCAAACAAGGGCCACATGTCTGTGGTAGAGTCCCACCTGCTCAGAGAGGAGCCACAGCTCACAGTGAGGCTTCCCCAGCCCTCAATGCCACCTGCCTCCCACAGCCAGCCTGGGCTCTGTGTCCCCTTCAGGAGAGGTGGAGGGGGGGTGGTGGCAAGAGGAGCAGGCACCAGAGGGTAAATACCAGCTGCCTTCCCTCCCCCTCGAAAGTCACCTGAAGTTCCACCTGGGAGCCCCCCAGCCTAACCACCCCAATGGGTGACCAGCTGGTCAGTGGGGCCCTCCTGTGCTGGCTCCAAGGCAAGCCTGCTCTAGCTGTCCTGACACCGTCCTGCCTGCTCCCTGGATGGGCCCCTTGCTGGGTAACCAAAGGCTCCTTGTGCTGGGGACTTCTGGAGCAGGTCTAGCTGTGCCAAGACCGGGGCGGGTGGCGGGGGGTGGCCAGCAATTCCCAGCCACACTCGGACGGGCTGCTGTCCAGCAACTGTGCCGCTGGATTTAACCTCTGGCTGAAGTGCCCTGATGCCAGCCGCTGGCTCCCTAGGCGGAGGCCCCGCCTTCTCCTTGGACCTGGCTGGGTCCTGCCCTGCCCCTAGGAGGCAGCCCCTGCCCCACCCCCTCCCTCAGGCTCTACAGGACAACTGCATTCCTGGCTGCAGATAATGAGAGGGAGGCGACAGTCTGAGCGGAGGGGGCTCCCAGCAGGCCTTCCACTAAGGGCCCAGTGTGAGGCTGGCTGCCCCAAAGCAGCCGCTGGCCCTCAGCTGGGCTGGCCAGGTACCAGTGGGGCCCCAGGGGCCAATGTGAGCTGGCACAGCATTTCTGAGGGCTCCAGGCCTGCCCTGCTCTGAGCTTCATGTCTGCCACCTGGCACCCTTCCTCCTGACCTCAGCAAAATGCCCAAAGAAAGCAAACCCTACAAGCGTCCACCAGGCTGTGCAGAGGGCGGCATGCGGCCATGGCTCCCACATACACACACTGTCACACATAAGCAGTGACCACACTCTCGCATCAGGCATGCCTGGAGCCACGTGCCCTCCCGTGTTCTGTGGAGGCCATGGCTGGACTCTTAGCCAGATGGGATGGGGTGGGTTGGGGTGGGGCCCTGAAGGGCACCTGCTAGTTCAGAGCACCCCAGATGTTACTGCCTGGTAAGATGCTCCCCAGAGGATGGGGTGCAGTGACTCCTGGGGGTACCGCCTAGGTGCCAGGCTCCATGCTGGGCATTTCATGTACCCTGGCTCCCTGAAGCTACCAAGGCCTGGCCAGGGTGGCATGGCAGCCCATTTTCTAGCTCCGGAGAAGTCATGTCTCCCAGGTGACAGCCTGGGGACTTGCCACATAGGCCAGTAGGTCTGATCCTAAGAGCGTGGGCCCCTCTTCCATCTTCCACCTGTGCACAGGGAGATGGAGGCTCCTGTTCAGAAGTGTGGCCTCCTCTGTTCCTGTCCTGGAGGGCAGCAGGTCCCTGTCAGGAAGCTATCCAACCCGCTGGAAGCCACCGCCCTGGTTCATCCTAAAGCCTTCTCTTATCTGCGCTTGTGGCCTCGCCAGCCAGCAGCAGGGAGTCGCTGGGGAGGAGGGGGGAGAGGGGAGAGACGAGGAGGGGAGGGGCGCCGCTCCTTCCTGCCCCCCCTGGTCCCCGCGGCCTGGGAAAAGGCAGCATATTGAGGCGCGGGGCTCCCAGCATCAGCCCCCGGGATGCTAATGAGGGCGAGCGCGTTCCCACAGCCCGGACATTGTGCCGCGCGGCCCACCTGCTCCTCGGGGAGCACCCATTGTGCCCGCGCCAATTCACAGGCAATTTAGCGTGCGCTAATGGGCCGGCGCCTTTGTGCGGCCCGCGCGCCATTGGCCGCCGAGTGTGGGAACGGCCGCGGCGCCCGGGCCCCAGGCGCCAGCCCGCCGCCCGCGCCTATATAGGGGCCGGGGTCCGCCGGTCGGGACGCGCCTGGCCCGCCCGCCCGTCCCTCCCTCCCTCCCTCCCTCGTCGCCGACTCGCCTCTCTCCGCGCCAGGCATGGCCCCCAGCACCGTGGCCGTGGAGCTGCTCAGCCCCAAAGAGAAAAACCGAGTAAGTTCGCAGCCCGCCCGCCCAGCGCGCGGCCCCCGCGGCCCCTGCGCCCTCGCGGCCCTCCTGACGCCCCTCCTCCCGCAGCTGCGGAAGCCGGTGGTGGAGAAGATGCGCCGCGACCGCATCAACAGCAGCATCGAGCAGCTGAAGCTGCTGCTGGAGCAGGAGTTTGCGCGGCACCAGCCCAACTCCAAGCTGGAGAAGGCCGACATCCTGGAGATGGCCGTCAGCTACCTGAAGCACAGCAAAGGTGAGCCCTGGCCCCGGCCCCGCCCCCGGCCCCCGCCCCCGCCCCCGCTCACCGCTCACCGCCCACCGCCGCCCGGTCTCCCCGCAGCCTTCGCCGCCGCCGCCGGCCCCAAGAGCCTGCACCAGGACTACAGCGAGGGCTACTCGTGGTGCCTGCAGGAGGCAGTGCAGTTCCTCACGCTGCACGCGGCCAGCGACACGCAGATGAAGCTGCTCTACCACTTCCAGCGACCCCCGGCCGCGCCCGCCCCGCCCGCCAAGGAGCCCAAGGCGCCGGGCGCCGCGCCCGCGCCCGCGCTCACCCCGGCCAAGCCCGCCGCCGCCGCGCGCCAGCCGGCCTGCGGTCTCTGGCGGCCCTGGTGACCCGGCAGGACCTGCAGGTGGCGCCCCGACGGCCAGAGAGCCAGCCCGTTCCTCTGGCGCGTGGGCAAGAGCCTTCCCATCCGTCTGTCCCGCCCGGGGCTTGGGCGGCCCCTTCTTCGGAAGGCCACTCTCCGGGCTGGCTGGCCAGCAGGAGAGTCATTCTCAGAGAATGTGCGCGCAGAGTCCTTGTCATTTAGGACAATTGGGGGCCATGTCTTGCCAAGTGTCTGACCCCATGGGGTCGTTCTGTGTTTGCATTTCAGCAAGTGGCTTCTGGGAAGCCCCCGCCGCTGGTCTGGGGTTCTATGATATTCGTAGACGCTGGGGCTCGCGCCCTAGCGTGTAGACGACGTTCGGGGCCTGTTGCTGCGGGGCCAGGGGCCTGGCGGGCGGGCGTGCCGTGGGCACATTTGCCTTTTGTGAAGGCGGAACTCAAGGTGTATCCTCATAGGAAAGAGTGCCAGCCTGCAGGCGCAGAGGACCACACAGCCTGGCCGCAAGGCCCCTGCATGTGACTGGCTGTTGGGATGGGGCTCACCATGGGCTGTCTGGGGAGGGGGATGACCATCGCAGTCCTCAAAGGATTCCTCTGTGTGGGCGGGTGCACGTGGGCTTGACTTTGTACTCAGGATTTGAACTTGGTCACGTGGGAGCCCATGGGACTGCTCTGCAGACTTCTAATAAAATCTGATTATTCAGCCCTCCGTGGTTGGTCTTTCGTGCCTCACACGTGTCTTTTGCAGCCACCAAGGCAGCATGTCTGCAGGAGTGAAGGGGAGTGGGCACTATCATGGGACACAAACGCGGGTGGGAGGTGTCCAGGCCAGGGACCCTCCGGACACAGGAAGAAGGGCAGGGTCCTGGCTGAGGAAGAGGAGAGGCAGAGGAGAGGCAGGGAGGCGGCGGGGAGGCAGCCAGAAGGAGAGTGGGCCTTGCAGAAGGTGTCAGCCCCTGTGGCAGCAGGAAGGGATATGGTAGGAAAGCTGAGTTTCCGCCCCAGGCCTCTCACTGGCTCCCTGCAGGTGGGGGTGGGGGCAAAGTGGTGGCTCCAGGATCTTCCAGCTCCGTCCAGCCCAGAGGGACACAAAGGCCACATCCTGCGGTGGGGCTCTTGATACAGTAAAAGGGGTTCAGCTGGGCCAAACACACAGAAGATGTTTGCCCCCACTCGGGTCCTCCCCGAACGGCTGGCAGCCCCTGTCCCTGGACAAGCTCCCCGGGCACCTGCTTGGCTAGCCCACAGGTGGCTGCCTGGCCCTCCCTGCAGGCTGCCCACGCTCCGGGGCCGAAACAGACAGTGCTGGTGATGAACCTGCCAAGGGCAGTCCCTTGCCTCAGAAAGGGCACCTATTTTTAGGCATGCTGTGGGAAATTAGAGGCACCCATGCTCCTCAAGGGGCGAACTCCACCCCGTGGGGACTGAAGGAGCTGGACGTGGGACCAGAAGGCATTCACGTATTTTCAGAGACGTGGGTCCCAGCCGGCCCTCCCTCCTTCCTGCTCAGCACCTCTCTCCCCTTTGCCTTCCATTCCTTTCTGCCCACTCTGCAAGAAATGTCCATAGGCGCCCCCTCCAGGCCAGCCCGGTGCTGCCAGGGGTCTCTGGGGTCCCTGCTGAGTCCGTGGGAGTGTGAGCAGGGCACAGGGAGGCTCCTTCTCTAACCCACACATTTACTGCAACAGCGGCAGGCACATCAATGAGCGGGGTGGGTTGTGTCTCCTGGCCAGGCTGGCCCATGGGCGTCCCACTGCCCAGGGTCCTCCATGCTCAAGGTCCACACCCCCCCAGGGGCAGTCCCTCTGCACTCTTCCACCCCAGGCCTCCCCACCCAGAGCAGCACACCCACCCTCTTGTAAGACACTCTCAAGGCTGCCTCCGCCCTGAAGCCTTGCTTGATGCACTGACCCACCAGCCCCCTCCCCTGAAGCGCCCCTGGAGCTCTGAGTCTGTGCTGCTCCACAGGCCTGTGCTCCTGGGGGCCCTGCCAGGCAGCTGGTGGCATACCCAGACGGAGGCTGAGGTCCGGAGACACAAAGTAACAGGCCCAGGGTCACTTGGGAGGCAGGTGCCAAAGCCACCTTAGGGATCCTCTGCTTCCAACACTGGGCTCTCCCAAAGCGCCCAGTGCCTCCGAGGGAGACACATCCCTCAAGGCTCTCCACACCAGCGGGGGCTTCCTAGAGACTGGCCCTGCAATCTGTCCCCACCACCACTTGTGTCCCCACTCCAGCTTCAGAAGCTTTCTCAGCTTGTTTCCTGCAAACTCCCATAGATTCCCCATCTTGCGAACAGGTGGCCTCCTCGAGGGAGGCTCCCCTGCTTTCCCCTGTAATTTCTTCAGATCGCGCCATCAAAGCGCACATCCTCCCCAGCTGCAGGTGCATCTCCCACCCCGAGGGTCCCTGACGCCCCCAGTTTGCATAGGACTTATGGCACCGACAGTCCTGCGTCCCTGAAGAACCGGGCTGGTGGGTCACATGCGCCTTCGCGTGCAGGTGCCAGGAGCACACGAGGCCAGCATCTGGCCAGCTCAGCGAAAGAACAACGAGGACGACGACAGTCCAGACGGTCTGTGCCTGGCTCCCTTCCGGCCCGGCCTCGGGGACCCGCGCCGGGCCGGCCGAGTCGGCCCTCGAGCGGCGGCGACCGCGGAGGGGGCGGGACGGCCGGGCGCTCATTAGCATAATCTATGCGGGGGGGCGTTTAGCAGTCAAATATATGCGCATATATCTCCATGGCTGATGAGGCTGGCCGGGCACATTCAAAATGGCGGAGTGTGGAGCGAGCGGCAGCGGGAGCAGCGGGGACAGCCTGGACAAGAGCATCACGCTGCCCCCCGACGAGATCTTCCGCAACCTGGAGAACGCCAAGCGTTTTGCCATAGACATAGGTAGCCGCGGGCGGCGCGGGGAGCAGGGCGGCACGCAGCTGGCGCGGGCCGGGCATGGGCGGCGGGCCGGCGGGCCGGGGGCGGTGGCAAGGACGAAGGGCGGGCCGCGGGCCCCGGCGCGCACAGCGTTTCGGGCCTTGTAGTCCGCGGCCGCCGGCGCACTGCCCGTCGGGCCTTGTAGTCCGCGGGCCGTCGGCGCGCAGGCTCGCCGTGGCGGCCAGACTACAGCTACCGGAAGATGCTGCGCGACCGGAGCGGAGCATGCCGGGCATCGTAGTCCCGCCGGGAGAGGCCCGGCGGTCGTCGGACTCCAGAGGGTCTTCGGCCGGGTCGGGCCGCATCCCGGCCGCAGAGGGGTGGTTGCCCCGACCGGCGGGAGCTCTGGCCCCGGTGTCTGGGGTCGGGACGAGGACGGGAGGCAGTTGCAGCTCTGGCCGCGGGAAGCCTGGGTGGGCCGCCCTGAGCGCTGCGCAGGGGCCGGAGCGCAGGCGGCCACTGGGCCCAGCCCGAAGCCCGGCCTCTGCAGGCCCTGCTCTTGGACGGTGGAGGTTTGGCGGAGTTTCGACGGCCTGGACGTGGACCTCGAGACCTCCGCCGGCCTCTGGTCAAGCCCCCGGGCCTCCCGTGGCCTACAGGGAGCCCCCAAGGGCCCGCACTCGCCCTGCCTCTGCCCCTCCCGCCACGCGCCGGAGGGCGGGTGGCTGCCTCGCGCTCCCTCCCTCGCTGCCGGCTTGTCCCTCTCGGCCCACCGCTCCTTTGATGCCGGTGCCCAGAGCCCTGACCGCGCAGCAGCCCCGGTGCTGGACCGTTCTCCCCCACGGCCGCCCGGCACCCCAGCACCCCGCCTTCACAGGTGAGGACCCAAGGCTCAGAGAGGTGGACCAGCTTGTCTGAGGCCACCGGCTGGTAAGCCGCCAGCGAAGCGGGCCTGGAAGCTGGGCAACCCTCGGCCACTGCCCCTCTTTCTGCCGGTATCAGGACGGAGGGCTTCCTGGGAGCGGCTGCTCTGGGTGAGGCCCCCTGAGTAAGCCCGAGCAGCGTCACACTCCTCTCCCTCTCCACCCCAATCTTGGCTTCAGCCTGAGTTGCCTGTGCCTCTCCGCAGCCCAGTGTAGTCGGTTAAGCACCGCACAAGGCGGGGCAGCATCTCCTCTCTGGTCCGGGCACCCACAGGACACCTGATCCACTGTAGCTGCTCTGCAAATGCTGGAAGGGACCACCATGCTCCTCTTTCCCGGAGAAGTGGGGGCGTCCCCTTGGAGCTGTTTGCATTTCAGGCGTTCGCCACCCTGCTGTTTTTGGGAGTTTCTCGAGTCCCAGGCTTTGGGGAGAGTGTCCTCCAGGGACGTGCGGAGCAGTGAGTGGGAACGTGGCCTGGGTCTTCAGTTCCCACCTTGCAAGCCCTGGTGTGCTGAGAGGGGCAGTGCTCTGGGGGAGTGGCCTGGCTGCAGGCATGAGATGCCTGGAGGCTGAGCGCCGGCGGGATGCCAGTGCTGAGCGGGAAGCCAGTGCTGAGCGGGAAGCCAGTGCCGGGCGAGGCAGGGGATGGGCAGGGGAGCGGCCTGAGGGAACTGATAGAACTCAGTGCCGACTGGAAGGTGCAGCTTGGGGGTCACACACACCCGGGCCTCTCCAGAGGCTGAGTCAGGCCCTCAGGGCCCACCCCGCCCGTCCTCTGTGTCCTGCCGTGCTGTGGGTGCGCCAGCCGTGTAGTCGGGCGTGTGTGCTGAGGTTCCGGGCTTTGTTCTGCTGCCCTTACGCTTGGGGGCTGTGCTCCGCGGGAACAAGTCGACAATGTTTCTGAAGCACAGCTGAAGATTGACTGCCCCGGGGCTTCACTCGGGGGTTCTCTGTGGCCCCCAGGGGCCAGCTTGTAGCCACAGAAGAAGGAATGTCCTGGCTCTGGGGCCCTGGCGTGGCCTGTCCTCAGGGGTCAAGCCCAGGTGGGGTTCCCTGGCAGAAGGACAGGCAGAGGGATATTTTTAGTGTTGATATTTATTTCCTGTCTTTGAAGTTTCCGTTGGGTCTGGGTCCCATGTCTCTGGTTCCTCAAATGATGTGCCCCTGGTGGGAGGTCACAGCTCGAGGTGGGGGTCCTCGAGCCAGGCATCCACTGAGCCAGTGTGCTTGTCAACAGTTTGCTTTGAAAACAGACTTCTCCCGTTTCCTCTTCCCTCACCCCAGCCTCTCGATCCAGGGAGGCTCAGCTGCCCTGTGCCCTTGGCAAGTCCTCTCCTCTCCTGGATGGGACACCCATGTCAGCTGGGTGGACTCCTCGCTTTGGAAGCATCAGGGACATTTTGTTTGTCAACTTGTACTTGAAGCTGACGTGACTTCAGGTTTCTACCAGGCAATGGGGAGGGTCCCTCAGGTGAAGCAGAAGGGGCCACAGGGCAGTGATGTGCACTGGGGTGTCCTGCCCTCCTTGGGGCCCGGAGTGGAAGGACAGGCCAAGGGGGTAGCAGGGAGGACAGCCCATGCCTGGCCCCTGTGGACCCGGATGAACCGGAAGGCCTTGGCTCAGGCGCTGAAGGCAGGACATGGGCAGGGCCCCCATCAGTCAGGGATGTCGTGAGTCTGGGTGGAGAATGGGCTGGACCTGAGAGCTCAGGGCTGTGCACGGTCCCCAGCCTGGTCACTGCGCTTGTCAGGTGTGAGATGCGGAGCCCGGTGCCAGGAGCCAGGTTGGCATTCGCTCTAATTCCGGGGGATCCTGAGAACAGGCGAGCTCTGCCCTCCGCAGGCTCCCGCCACTCTGCTCTGAGCTCATTTGGCTTCAGACTGACGGCCCTGCTCTGCACGTCCCCACTCACACCCAGACCCTGTCTGTTCCCTCCTGGGGGTAGGGAGATGAGTCCTGGCAGTGCTGGGCCTTGGCCCGCCATCCCCTACAAACCCCAGCCCTTAGGTTTGAGCTGTGATTTAAGGTCAGCGTAACACAATCTGAAATGACTTCCGTGACCCAGGAGTTGGTTTATAGCGACTTTTGACAAGTCTTCAAAATGTGTCTTCGTCCCTTTGCATTGCCTGTCTTTTTAGGAAACAGTTTATTCACGAGGTGAATTGACAGGAAGCATTTTAGAGAAGGATGCTCTGGGCCAGGCCGGATGGGGCGTAGGGGCCTTGGATAAGGAGGCTCACAGCCCAGGGCCGCCTCTTAAGCTCAGGGCGGGGGACGGGAGGAAGCCTGTGATGGCAGGGTTTACACACCACGCCTGGGCCCCTCCGCGGCCCCACGAGGGTGGGTCGCAGGATGTCCCGTAGATCTGTCCCCACTGCCTGGCAGACGGCCTGGGCAGGACAGGCTGTGACTGATCGCAGAAATGGTGGTTTGACCTTTCTTACCTGGAAGAGCTTTGCCGCTCGGGTACCTTGGTGTTTGCAAACCTGTGTTCTGACTGGAGTGTTCCTCATGTACAGTCACGCGCCGCCTAGGACGTTTCAGTTGACAGTGGACCTCCCCTGTGACAGTGGCCCTAAGAGTAGCGCGTAGAGTCCAGGTTGTGTGCGTTGTGCCCTCCTGGTTTCTGTAAGTCCGCTCCATGATGCTCGCACAAGGAGGACATCGCCCAACGACCCGTTTCTCGGGACGTGTCCCCGTCGTTAAGCAATGTATGACTTTCCCTTGGTATTTTGTCACAAAATAACCATTGGAAAATATTTTTAGCCTTCTTCTCATAATGAGGGATTTCGGCCTTAGTTTTTTGGGCCCCACAAGAAACGCAGTTTGGTTCATGGTCCTTTTGTGGGGCCGAGCCTCGTGCCTGGCCTCCCTCCTGTCGTTCGTGGGCTTCCACGGCTGTGAGCGCCTGCAGCCTCGCAGCTGCCCCCGACGCACAAGTGGGCCCGGAGCTGTCTCCCTCGCCCCGTCTGCTATAGGCAGGTAAAGGCCCTACTTCCTGCTCCTCATCTCTGTGACGTCCCCGGGGGCGTCAAGCTTCTCTGCCACAGGGGGCCTTCCACCCTCCGCGTGGCCTCCCCTGGCCCCGAGGCCTCAGCTGCCTCCCGGCCCAGAGCCCAGAGGGCAGGCTGCTGCTCTCTGGCCGGTTCCCCCGTCTGTCCGCTCTGGGGAAACGCTGCTTTTGTTGCCGTCCCCACTTGTTTCCACCAAGTCAAGTGTGTGCTTTTCAGTGAAAACGGTGGCTATGTCAGCTTTTCCTCTTGGTCCTTTTCAAGATGAGTGCTTGAAACAGAATTTCCCTGTTTCGAGGTCGCCTGGACACCGGGTGGCTTCCTTTCTCCTCCGGGGCTTGGTGTCCCAGGGCAGTGGACGGTCTCCAGCCCAGAGTGGGCCGGGACCTGAGGAGGAGCAGACTGTTTCAAAGGGAGCAGAGTGTTTGGCACCCAAGTTAGCTCCCTTCCTCTGCCTGGGGCCTCGCATGGCTTTGAAGTTCCAGTGGCGCCAGGTGCCTCGTGCGCAGGACCCAACTCTGGCAGAGGAGAGTGCATGGGCGGCATGCCGCCGGGTCCCTTCCCCACACCTGAATTCGCCGTGTGTGTCGCCCCGCAGGCGGCTCGCTGACCAAGCTGGCCTACTACTCCACCGTGCAGCACAAAGTCGCCAAAGTGAGGTCCTTCGACCACTCGGGCAAGGTGAGCCTCCTGCGCCGCGGGTGGCGGCTGTGGGGAGCCCGGGGCAGCTGGAGGCGCCACACTGGGTCTCCGTCTCCGTCTGCGTCTCGGCTCTGGCGCAGGTCTCAGTCTCCGTGTGCCGTCCTCTGCTGCTCGCCCACGTCCGTGTAGCTTCTTGGAAGCTTCTAGTGCTGATGCTCCTCCCTGCCTCCCAGCCCAGTTCTCCTTCCCCCACCTGCCCGTGCTCCTTGGGCAGCACGTTCCCCCCCAGCCCCGAGGCCCTGCCCGCCCCCTGCTCTGCCTCCACCCTCCCTGGCATTGGCATCAAGAGTCCCTCGGATTTCAGGGTTGACGGAGCTCGTCAGCACTGCTGGGTGGGGGCCCAGGGGCCCATCTCGTCGTGTCCCACCCACCCCCCATGCAGCCTGCACTCGCCAGCTCCCTGACTTTATCCCCAGGACGCCGAGCAAGACCACGAGCCGCCCTACGAGATCTCGGTGCAGGAGGAGGTGACCGCCCGGCTGCACTTCGTCAAGTTCGAGAACACCTACATAGAAGCCTGCCTGGACTTCATCAAGGACCACCTCGTCAACACCGAGACCAAGGTCATTCAGGCGACCGGGGGCGGGGCATACAAGTTCAAGGACCTCATCGAAGAGAAGCTGCGGCTGAAGTGAGTGGCGACCGCAGGGACCGCTGGCCTCAGATCTCAGGGTCGGGCTCTGATGTGGTGGCCGCAGTAGACCCGGCTCCTGCACCCGCTCCACCCTGCTCTGGGGGTTTCTAAGACCCCACGACCACAAGACTTTGAGCACAGGTTGGGGGGCTGTGGGCCTGGGGCTAAGCTCTGGGTGGGCTGGCAGGAGGCCTCTGGTGGCCCAACCTCAGGAAGGCGTGCGAGACTGAGGACAGTGGGCGGGGTGCGTGGCTAGAGGCTCCAAGTGGAAGAAGGTAAAGGAGCCCCAAGGAGGAGTCTGCCTGCTCCTGCTGGGGAGGTTTGCAAGGGCAGCAGCCCTGCAGGGGGCGCCGAGGCGGCCGTCCGTGCCAGCAGAGAGCAGGGCTGCAGGTGCATCCGGCTGGCTCGGTGATGGTGGCCCATCCCCAGAGATTCGGTACAGACGGGATGGTGATTTACGAGTTGCTCTGTCAGTTGCTGTTTTTGAGAGCCACGCGTATGCGTCAGAGTTACAAGCTGAGCCTGGCCAGGCCGGGAGCAGTGTTTCCAGGAGAGACCCCGCTGCCAGATGAGCCAGGCAGCTGTGCCGTGCTGCGGGCCCTCCCTGCGGCCCGTGCTGTTTTCAGTGGCCAGGCTCCTTCCCTTGCAGAGTTGACAAGGAAGACGTGATGACTTGCTTGATAAAGGGGTGCAACTTTGTGTTAAAGAACATCCCGCACGAGGCCTTCGTGTATCAGAAAGATTCCGACCCTGAGTTCCGATTTCAGACAAATCACCCCAACATCTTCCCGTATCTTCTTGTCAATATCGGTTCTGGAGTCTCTATTGTGAAGGTGAGGCTTGGCTTCGTAGAATGAGTGAGTGATGGTTCAGCAGTGGTTTGCTGAGCACTTGCTGTGTGCTGGGGCCAGGCACAGGGTCACAGACAGATGTGACACAGGCCTTGCTGGGCTCCCACCTCCACGGGCACAAGGCCACATGCAGAGTGCCCAGCGCAGGCTGTCAGTGGGAAGGCGGGGTCCCTACTTCCAGCATCAGCGCCTGCCAAGCCTGCCCAGGCTCAGCCTTCAAGAGCATTGTCACCCATGTCTGGGGACACCCCTGAACCACTGCATCCCTAAAAGCTGCTGGGTGGTGGCTAAGGGCCCACTTGCTCATACACCTGCCTTCATTCTGCTCCCAGGTGGAGACCGAGGACAGATTCGAGTGGATTGGCGGCAGCTCCATTGGAGGTGGCACCTTCTGGGGGCTTGGGGCGCTGCTCACCAAAACAAAGGTATTCTGGCAGTTGCAGGAAGATGCTTCTGGCTCTGCATAAAGTTCTGCTCCTCAGTCCCTTTCAGGGAAGGGCTGGTGGCTGTGGGACCTGAGGCTTGCCGCTGGCTGGATTGTCATGACAGCGGCTTCATCCTAGGCCGTGTACCAACTCTGTTTCCTGGGTTTCTGGAGGACGGGCGTCCAGTGTCTAGAGCATCGCCTGGGTGGGTGGTCCACAGAGTCCTGCTTGCCTCTCCTGGCCCTCCATGCTGAGAGGGGGGCCTTCCACGCCCAGCCGACGCAGTGCTTGCCTCCTCTCCCAGCTTAGTTTCCGGGGCTGCAGGGGTTCCACCAGCTCCCAGCACCTCACCTGCTTCCGTCTGCTCTGTCCCCACAGAAGTTTGATGAGCTGCTGCATCTGGCCTCCAAGGGCCATCACACCAATGTGGACATGCTGGTGCAGGACATCTATGGCGGGGCCCATGAGACCCTGGGGCTGAGCGGCAACCTCATCGCCAGTAGCTTCGGGAAGTCGGCCACCGCCGACAGAGGTACCTCTCCCTCTGTCGCTCGCGCTCTCTGGTCGCCGGCGCCCACACGTCGCACACCGGGTCTTCTTGCCTAGTAGCGCTCTGTCCCCATTCCCTCTCCCAGAGTTCTCCAAGGAGGACATGGCCAAGAGCCTGCTGCACATGATCAGCAATGACATCGGGCAGCTCGCCTGCCTCTATGCGAGGCTCCACTGCTTGGACAGGGTCTACTTCGGCGGCTTCTTCATCCGGGGCCACCCCGTCACCATGCGCACCATCACCTACAGCATTAACTTCTTCTCCAAGGTACCGGAAGCTCCACCTCCTCCCCCTGCCCCACCCCGCACATCGCTTTTCCTGGGCCCTCCAGCATGAACCCTCAGTGTCTTCAAAACTAGCAGGCTGGGGGCTGGCCCTGTGGCATAGGAGCTGGGTTCACATACTCCACTTCGGTGGCCGGGGGTTTGCCAGTTCCTATCCTGGGCGCAGGCCTACATTTTGCTCATCAGCCATACTGTGGCAGCGTCCCACATACGAAACAGAGGAAGATGGGCACAGATGTTAGCTCAGCGACAATCTTCCTCAAAAAATAACTAGCAGACCCAAGGGTGAGGGGGCCCAAAGGCAGACAGCCAAGGAGCTGGACGCCCACTACCTGGCCATTCCCAGCCCCTGCGTCTTCCTTCTTCCTAGTTCCTGGCGTCCTATACTTGGGGCGCTGTGGCCGTCTCTGAGTTTGGGCGTGTCATCAATGGTGAGCCTTCCAGGGACCATCTCCAGCTGTCGAGAGCTTCAGATGAGCTTTGCGTCATCTGTCGTGCTGCAGGCCGCTCCAGGCTTGGCCCAGGGAACCTGGCTGACAGGGTGAACTGGGCGGGGATTAATTTTGTGAAAGGAGTTATTCACCCTCAGATTTCTCCAAGTGACTCGCTCTTAAATTGACGTCTGAACGTGGCCCCATTGGCGGGCGTGCTGTGGGCCTTTCGGCGAGGCTCCGCTGTGAGCAGGGAGGCCTGGCTGCGCTGGGTTGATCAGAAGCTGCGAGGGTTTGCTGTGCGTGCGGTGAGGCTGCTTCAGGCGGGGTTTTGCCGTGGCAGGGGGAAGTCCAGGCACTGTTCTTGAGACACGAAGGCTACCTGGGAGCCATCGGAGCGTTTCTAAAAGGAGCCGAACAAGACAGTGAGTAGAGTGTGCTGTGGGGGGTGGGGGCGGTGGGGGAGTGCAGCCGCAATGAGCCCCGAGAGCGGGGGCTTACGTTGCAGTCGGTGAAGCTCTCCACCTCCACTTTCCCCTTTCTGAGTTGGGGCTGTGATGGGGACGTGGGGACCTGCGCTGGCCCCTCCCTGGCAGTGCGGGGAGCGGCGGAGTCTTTGCTGTGATTCTCCTGAGGGGCTGGTGGAAAGTGACTCGCGTGGGTTTGCATGCGACGCAATCAACCCAAGGGGGTCCTCGAGAGTGCAGGGGCTCCGTGCAGGGGCCACAGGCTTGTGACCTCGCCCCCTCCCGCTCCTGCCTCGTTGCTATCAGCCGAGCTCGGTCTCTTCCTTTGCAGAGGACACGGGAAGGAGTTGCAGACAAGACAGCCTGGGAGCCCAGGGCAGGCTGCTGGGGGGCGCCTGTCAGAGCAGGCTGGGCCATCCTTCATATGTTCTTAAGTCTGGTTTTGGACTTGAGAGAAATTAGAGAAATCTTTGAGAAGCTGCAGAAGGTCTAAGTGACCATCTTAGGAGGTTTCAATGCTCGTGAAATAACTCACTGACACAGAACAACCCCAGCTCCCTTGGTCTTGTGGGGGCCCTCAGCGGCTTGCCCCTTTCCAGATGCGGTCGGGCCATCCTGAGGTTGGCCATGCCACCTTCTGAGCGCAGCCCAGTGCCCCCGAGGCTAATGCCTGGTTTCTCGTTCTGCAGACCCCAACCAGTACAGCTGGGGCGAGAACTACGCAGGCAGCTCCGGGCTGAGGAGTTCGCCCCCAGAGCCCTGCCCATCTCAGCGGACCAGGGGCGGCGCCGTGAGTATGGGGTCTGGGCTGTCTCTGGGGTCTACGGGAGCTGCCCGCCACTGGGGTGTCTTCAGGGTCCCTGAGGAAAGCCACCACAGCGCTGTGGCCTGGCTCAAAGGCCCCTTCTCCTGGTGCAGACTCGATTTTAATCTGACCACAGACTTTGAGGCCGAAGACAGACGTTTGCGGCTTGCTCTCCTGCCTTTGTTGAGTGTTTCACGTTTTCCAAACATTCTGCCAAGCCTTAGAGGCCATGCAGTGCCTCTCGTGTCTGCAGGAAGGACAAAGGTCAAGGAGCAAACGGCTTTTTCCCCCGCGCCCTGGCCATGCATAGCAGAATTAGGGTCAAAACCCAGAGTCTCAGGAACCGACGTAGCCCCTTCCCTCAGGCCCCGTGCTCAGCCTGGTGTTTCAGGGAGTACAAAGTCTGCTCTCCTCACAAGGTTCCGACCCGTTCCTCAATCCTCACTTGGGGTAAGGCTACCGTGCCTGGATAGGGGGCTCCCCTGGCCTGCTGAGCTGGCATAGAGAGGGTCTTCCAGGTGGGACCAGCATCCGCCACACACAGGACATTACGCCAAGCCCCTCCTGGTGGAGGTGGTGGGCTGTCGCAGGCTTATTAACAAGAGGCCCCAAGTGGCTTGACCTCAGTGAGCAGTTAGCAGGACTGCGCCCGGTTGAAGAAGCAGCTGGGCAGCTCGGGGGGCCGGTCTGGGCCCGTGAGTCTGCCTGCTGCCTTCCAGACCGCCTGCTGGCGTTTCTGATGGAAAGCTGCTTTTCAGTGGTGGACGCAGATTCTCTCAGAAGTGAGTGTAAACACTGCAGGAACGGGCCTGATCTAATCAAGCCCCTGGGGAGAAGGACCCCGTGTGCAGCACCATCCGCATGCGGGCAGCTGGCTCTGCCGGGGCGGGCACCTGTGAGCGGCAGGCAGGGCCCCACGCCTGGGGCTGGTCAGAACGTTTGTCCAGGGGCAGTGCAGAGGCCTGCCCCACGGCTATCACACTCAGTGTACTCGTGGGCAGAGACCCTACCTCAGTGCTGCAGCGCCACACGGAGCTCTCATCCCCACGACAGGGCGGCCCGGCGGCATTTGTGGCGAATTTGTGCGCACAGGGCCTCACGCACCTGTTGTGCTGGGTCGTCGCGAGCCAGGCGTAGAGACCAAGTGCAGGGGCCGGGTGTCCCTGAGTTTCCGTAGGCAGCACGGGGGAAAAGCTGGGGTTGGAACTCGGCTGTGTCAGCGGAGCAGGGGGTACCCTGCTGGGCAGGAGGCTCGTGGAGCTAGTTGCTGGGGAAACCACCCTCACCCTTCTTCATCTGCGTGAACATGTGTCAGCTGTCTGCACGCTGAGTTCACCGTCTCCTGGGTGTGTTCTGGAAGCCAGCTTCTCCCTCATGGGAGGGAGCTTCTTGTGCAGACCCCCCCCGCTCAGGGCAGCCTGTTTCTCACCCCACTAGTTTGCTAGTCAGAAGTGGTCCCAGCAGAGAAGGGCCAAGTTCCAGGTGTGTGGTGACTTGGCGGGTCATTATCTGAAGTGCAGGGGGAGGTCCCATAGGAAGCACGAGCTCACTCGCATGTCCTGGCCCCAGAGCGCTCCCCAGCACCATCTTAACCTGAGATCCAGGGGCGAGCACACACATCAGCTCCACTCTCCTGAGTGGAGTGTAAAAAGCCAGCTGGGAGAGCGACCATTCGTTCAAAAAAATACTTGCATGCCCAGTGGGCACCTGAGCCTGACAGCCCCAGGTTGCAGGTCAGGAACCTGGCCTGTGAGGTGGCCTGGCCTCGCTGAGCGTCACTGGGGCCAGTGGTTTCCGACCCTGGGTGTGCAATCAGCAGACATGCTCTGGAGAAAAAGGAGCTGGTATGTACAGGGCAGGAGGGTTTGCCTGCCCCCATGGGCTCACCGTGCTCCTGCCGTGGAACTGACCCTGGGCAGGAGGCGTGGGGCAAGAGCCCACAGGGCAGTGAGTGAGGGCAGCGCCTACAGAGCCCTGAGCAGGAGTAACGAGGACCAGAAAAGTGGCCAGGGTACCTGGGGGTCGCGAGTGCGGAGAGGGAGGGTGCAGACAGTGCAGGAGCTTCGAGGGGCAGTGGTGTGGGAGCTCCCGCCCTGGCTTCCCTGTAACAGGGAGACAAAGAGGTGAGGTGGGAGCCACCAGGAGGAGGCCCCACGGACAGGAGGGAGGAAGGCATCACACGCAGGAGGTGACCTTGGGGCTGTGAGCAGACTCGGGACCCCGGGAGGTTTGGCTCAGGCCACTGGACAAATGGAGGGGACGCCGCGGGCTGAGGGAGGACGGCAGGTGGGAGGGCGGGGTGCGGAGACGGGAGGGGCGGCTGGTCCATGTGCCGCAGCAGCAGCCCCCTCACCCCTCTTCTCACGGAGGAGCCAGCTCTAGACCTCATCGAAGGTTTTTGCATCTTGCAGAAAAACGCAGCTGACGTGTCTACCAACTTCTTGTCCTCCCAGTTTGACTTGCTGGAAATGGACCGGCTGGAGAGGCCATTGGTGAATCTGCCGCTCCTTCTGGACCCGTCGTCCTACGTGCCCGACACCGTGGACCTCACGGACGACGCCCTGGCTCGCAAGTACTGGCTCAGCTGCTTCGAGGAGGCGCTGGACGGGGTGAGGGCTCGGTGGGCGGGTGGGCGCCCCCGGAGCGGCGGCGGGTGGTTTGGAAACTGTCTCTGGCCACCGTGGGTTCCCAGGGGCAAAGGAGAGGCGTGGTGAAGGAGGGTGGGCGTTTTCCCGGAGCTGTTCGGGCACGTTTGAGTCGGGAGGCTGGTGGAAACACAGCGCCTGGCATCCATCGGGCCAACGAGGCACGTTTCTTAGGAGTGTGTCAAGCAACTGCCCGTTACTGTGTTTCTTCAAAAAGCAGTGATCTGCGTGGAGTCAGGGTGGCCCCTGGACGCCAGGCTTGGGGCTGTCAGCACCCCAAGGGAACATGTGTTCCTTCATAACGTCCCTCAGAGTGAGGGGTCCCGCCCTGCCCTGGACCCCACGTGTGCTCAGAGGATGATTCAGAACCGCCTGTCCCTGCGGCAGGGTGGGAGCTGGTGGCGAGCAGGACTCGGGGCTCGTGTCAGGGGATGTGGGCTGGGGCCAGTGGTGACTGCCGTCCCCACTCGCAGGACTAAGCCCTGGCAGACTGGTGTGCCGGGCAGACAAGCCTGTCGCCAGCAGCTCCTGCCGAGCCTGCTGCTCGTGTGTTTGGGGCACTGCTGTGAGCATGGCCTTGGCCGAGGAGCAGGCTGACCGCCCTGTCCTCCTCGGTAGGTGGTGAAACGTGCTGTGGCCAGCCAGCCAGGCTCTGTGGACGCAGCTGAAAGGGCGGAGAAGTTCCGCCAGAAGTACTGGAACAAGCTGCAGACGCTGCGACACCAGCCGTTGTAAGTGTCCAGCCTCTCCCAGCATGTGGCTGGCATGAAACCAGCCCTGTGAGCTGGCCAGAGGCCTGGTCCTTGTGGGCAGGGAGCCTGGTGTGCGCGGCCCCCAGGGGCAGCCTCTGCGGGGGATTGTGGGTTTACCCAAAGGCCGGGGTTCCCAGTGACTGCTCCCAGCATCCCACGGGGCTCTGCCTGCCTACCGCAGCGCACACTTTCAGGGACACGCAGCAGGGCCAGGCGGGCCCACTCGGGCTGCATCACTTCTCGGTCGGTGCCTAACGCCATGAGGATGCCCCTGGGGGCAGGGGCGGCGAGCGGGCAGCGTGCTCAGCTCTCCAACCTGCTCAGCCTCCCAGTCCCGGCTCTGTCCGCAGTGCTTACGGAACCCTGACCGTGCGCAGCCTTTTGGACACGAGGGAGCACTGTTTGAATGAGTTCAGCTTCCCAGACCCCTACTCCAAGGTGAGTGCGCCTTCTATAGGGATATGGAGAGCGGGGATGTGGGGGCTGCCCCGACCCCCAGCGCTGGCGACAGGCTGTTTCTTGGGGCTGCCCTGGCAGGTCTATCTCCCAAGAACGCCAGGCAGCCCGTGGGTTGGCCGTGCCTGTTGTAGAGCTGTGGGTCAGAGGCTGCGTGGGGGCCCCCCCAGAGCAGAGAAGGATCCTGGGGGCTCTAACCAGCAGCCAGTTAGGATGCTGGGTGTGTGGCAGGAGAAAGGGGAACGGGTGGGCACCAGGACCGGGTCGTGGAGCCTTTGGGACAGGCCGCCTCCATGCCGGCCAAAGGGCTGCCAGCCTCCTGAGGGTGCGTTTCTCTGCATCTCTGGAGCTTTGGGCCACCACGTGGAGGCCCCCACCCTCTTCCTGGCCTCTGAGGTCGGCCCGGAGCTTCAGAGTTGGTCTTTGTGGACGTCACTCCTGCTCCTGCAGTGTGATGAGCTCGCCAGAGCCTGGCAGGTGGCCGAGAGGCACCACCCTCCTCAGCTGTGCTGACCAGGAGCCCCCGCGCCCGAGAGCAGCGGGCGGGGTCGGCACACTGCTTCCCATCTCCCCTCCCTTCCCTACAGATGGGGGCGTCTGGGGATGGGGCCATCCGGGTGCCAAGGTTTCACAGTCCGGGCAGCGGGCACCTGCAGGGGTCCAGGTCCGCCGCCCTGGCCCCCTCTGCCCTGCCCTCACGCACCGCGCTGTCTCGCTGGGACGAAGCCCTACTGAGCCTCGTCCTTCTCGGCACACGGTTTAGACGCGCGCTCCTGGCTGGCACGGTTCTGAATCAGCAGTGTTTGTGACCTGATTCCATCTTGGTTTATTAAAGTCCTGCTGTGGCGTGGCAGTGAGCCTCTGTCCCCGTAGAGTGGCTTCACAGTTGGTGACCTGCTCCGCGCATCCCCAGCGGGCTCCCTTCCTCTGCTCTGCTGCGGCGCTGGGGGAGGCAAGGCCACATCCGCTCTCGTGACCGTGTCTCCTGTCTGCCCACAGGTGAAGCAGCGGGAAAATGGCGTGGCGCTGAAGTGTTTCCAGAGGGTGATCCGCTCCCTGGATGCGCTGGGCTGGGAGGAGCGGCAGCTGGCCCTGGTCAAAGGGCTGCTGGCCGGCAACGTCTTCGACTGGGGAGCGAAAGCCGTCTCTGAGTAGGTGCTTGCTGTCTGCACAGCCACTTTGTGTGGCCTCATCCCTACCCCTTCACCCCCACGGCCATGTGTGGCTCTGGCCTGGCCCCGGGCCTTGGCCGGCCCAGCTTGGCCCAGGTGGAGGTGGCAGTGGGGAGACTGGGAGTCCCTGTGGGCTTGGTGCTTCTTGGCATCCTGCTGGGCCGTTCAGCCTCTCGAGTGAATGTGGCAGCCTGCTGGCCGTGCCTCCCTGGCAGCGCTGGGACCCGGCCTTGCTGCCCAGGCACAGGGGCAGGTGCGGAGATCTGGGGTATGGATGCGGGGCTGACGTTTTCAATGTTAAAAATCTGAATTCGTGGCTACCACAGAGTGGGAGTCAAACGATCCTCATGTTTGAGATAACAAGGGTGCGTCCCCGAGGAGCTCAGCAGATTCCGTGGTGTGAGACGTGCGTGTCCCAGGTGCGCTGAGCATCCTGTCCTGGGCCTCCCAGGCCGGGCGCCCTCAGAACGTGGCGTCTCCTTAATTCCTGAAGAAGCCACTTAAGTCGTTTGCTCTCACCCCTGAGGAAGCCGCGTTCCCAGGCCCCGGGCCTCACAGGTGGCTGCCGCCGCAGAGCAGGGCCCCTCCCTCTGCTCAGTGCTGTTTCCCACCTGGTGTCCCCGTCCCCTGGCCCTCGCTGGGTCCACCCCCAGTGCACTTTCGGACACGGACACTGAGGAGAGCCGTCCGCCTCCCTCCCCACCCTTGTCACTGGCTGTGCCTTTAGGCGGCACAGCAGGCATGTGCCAGATGAGGCTGGTGGCCAGCGCTGACCCAGGAGCCCTGCTCGTGGCTCCCAGGGACAGAGGACGTCCCCAGGCCCCATCCGTGTTCTCGAGCTCGTGCTGTTGCTCACCTGGGGAAACGTGCTGCCTACCCCTCACCATCGCTGCTCGGGGCGCAGAGCTTCTGGCCGTGGCGGCAGGGACTGACCGTGACAGCCATGTGGGGACCGACCGTGACAGCCATGCGAGGACCGACCGTGACAGCCACGCGGGGACTGACCGTGACAGCCACGTGGGGACCGACCGTGACAGCCACGCGGGGACCGACCGTGACAGCCACGCGGGGACCGACCGTGACAGCCATGAGGGGACTGACCGTGACAGCCATGTGGGGACCGACCGTGACAGCCACGCGAGGACCGACCGTGACAGCCACGCGGGGACCGACCGTGACAGCCACGCGGGGACCGACCGTGACAGCCATGAAGGGACTGACCGTGACAGCCATGTGGGGACCGGCCGTGGCGGTGGGGACACCTCGACTGCCGTCGATAGCAGTGTGCTTGCCCAATCTGGAAAACGCATCATTCAGGATCCACAATGGACGACCATGGCTGAGATTTGAGGTGTTTTATCATTTTTTTCTTCTTCCTCACGCAGTGTCCTCGAATCCGACCCCCAGTTTGGGTTTGAGGAGGCAAAGAGGAAGCTGCAAGGTAGGGCCCAGGGCTGGCCCCTCATTCGGGGACTCGGACCCCGGCGGGGGAGGAAGCAGCAAGGAGGGCAGAGCTGGGGGTGGGTGAGGACTGGCTGCCAGGAGAAGGGGACAGGCGAGGGGGGTGCTGCCCACCAGGGGTGCAGCTGACTCGTCCCCATGTCTTGCAGAGCGGCCCTGGCTCGTGGACTCCTACAGCAAGTGGCTTCAGAGACTGAAGGTACCTGAGCTGCCCAGCCGCCTCTGCCACGTGCACTTGAGGCCTGGGAGGCGGGGGCCCGGGCAGGCCCCAGGATGGGAGGGGCGCAGGGAGTGGTGGGGGCTGCCCCACGCCGTGTGCCAGGGGCCCCGGAGGCTCACTCCCCCAGCTGCGGGTCTCTGTGGCCGCCCCTGCCCCGAGCCTGGCTCCTGTGGGGACCGTTGACTGGGTCAGCTGACCTCAGCGGTTCTGGACAAAGCGCAGGCCAGCCGGCCCCCTGTCCCCAGCACCCCAGCACCCGTGGGGCCAGCAGCCTCAGCCCAGCCCCAGGAGCGTGGCGCGTGGCGGTGTGCGGAGCGCGTGGACATGCCTGTTCCCAACTGCACGTCTGGTTTTGTCTTGCAGGGGCCCCCTCACAAATGTGCCTTAATTTTCGCAGATAACAGTGGAGTAGACGTCATTTTGGGAGTCTTCCCCTTTGTCAGGGAGCTTCTCTCTAGAGGGACGGAGGTGAGTGGTGAGGCCGCGCGGTGGGACCCTTGCCCCAGGCTCCTTGTGCGCGGCAGGTAGGTGTGGGCAAGAGGCGGCACACGGGGAGGAGGTGACGCCCCCACCTGACCCCAGCGTGCCAGGGCCATCTTCATTGTGACCCAGGGCCACCCCTTCCGGAGGCCGCCGAGCAGCAAGAGGTCGCCAGGGGCGTGCACCTCAGCCGGCAGCCCTGAGTGGGCAGGCGAGCACAGGCTGGTGGGGTGCTGGGCGGCGCTGAGGTCCCTAAAGAGCCTGGGGCGTCCTACAGGTCATCCTGGCGTGCAACTCAGGACCCGCCTTGAACGACGTGACCTACAGCGAGTCCCTCATCGTGGCTGAGCGCATTGCGGCCATGGACCCCGTTATCCAGTAAGCTGTGCAGGGCCAGGGATGCGGAGAGGTGGGTGGTGCGCTGGGGGCGGTTCCCGGGGCAAGCCTCATGGGCGCTGGTCCCTTGTGTCCGGCAGCTCAGCACTCAGAGAAGAGAGGCTCCTGCTGATGCAGACGGGTTCCAGCTCCCCGTGCCTGGACCTCAGGTACCCTGCAGCACCTCCATCCCTGGTCCCCCGGGTCACCCCTGGGTCCTCTGTGCATGTGCACGGTGGCAGAAGTCAGCAGCGCTGACCATAGCCCTGTGGCGGAGTCTGGGCTGTCTTCTTTCCTCGGGTGGGCTCAGGACCCCATCAGCCCCACTGCAGGCTGGTCTGGGTCAGGTGGGCCGGAGGAGCACATACCCCCGTGGCTGCCTGGCTCAGAGGCCAAAAGTGGGGCTCCAGGCACCGTGTGTCCCACCTGTGGATGGCGGGGGGCTGTCTCCCCATAGTCATCCTAAGATAACTAGTTTATCATCTTAGTGCTTTGTGCCCTGAGGCTTCTAGAACATAGAAGAACCCCGCCTTCTGGAGCCAGCCGTGGACAGCAGTGCCAAGGCAGCTCTGTGTGTTGGCGGGGATTGTCCAGTGTGGACTGTGGGCTTTGTCCTACCTCCAGGCCCACGATTAACCAGCAAGGGAGGAGGATAAAAACCTGTAAAAAGGAGTAAGGTCATTGAAAGTCCACAATAGAAACGCGTCCTCAAGGCCCGCTTTTCAAGTGGACCATCTCCTGGCGACCGAGGCGCAGCCACCCCGGGTCCCCGGGCCCAGGAGGACAGCCACTGTGTTCGAGTCTGGCAGGAGTTAGAGCTCACAGGCCAGCGTGTCGAGTGTTGGGGTCTCCAGCATTCTTGCTGTCACTGCCCTTGGTGGGAGGCAGGGTGTGGCGTCTACCCCGGGTGCAGCTCAGTGCGCGGCGTGAGGCCCTGCCACCCACGCCCGCCTCACTGCCCCCTTCCTTCCCAAAGCCGCCTGGACAAGGGGCTGGCCATGCTGGTGCGGGAGCGCGGTGCAGACCTGGTGGTCATCGAGGGCATGGGCCGGGCCGTCCACACCAACTACTATGCGAGCCTGCGCTGTGAGAGCCTCAAGCTGGCTGTCATCAAGAACTCCTGGCTGGCCGAGCGGCTGGGCGGCCGGCTCTTCAGCGTCATCTTCAAGTACGAGGTCCCGGCCGAGTGAGGCGCCACCCTGCTGGACTGTTCTCGTCACTCGTCAGGAATGTATTTCGACTACAACAGGGAAACTGCATTCAAATCCGAATATTTATATTGTGCTTCTGTGACTCGGAGTGGGCGCACCCAGCTGTGGACACGGCGCTCGAGGCCCTGAGTCGGTGTTCACACTGCCGTGTTCATGGTGGGGACGCAGCTCTCGTCCCGTGAGACACTCACGTTGGAATGTATTTAGCTGTTAAATAATCTTTTATATATATATATAAATATATATATAAATATATACAGATACCTGTGGCGGAGACGCAGGCCTCGCCCCGATGGAATCTGTAGCCTGCGCGGCGGCGTCTGCACCTTCGCAGTGCAGTCTCTGAGAGGCGGCCCACCTGGAGGCCTTGCTGCATCTGGGTGCGTCCGGGCAGGCCCTGCTGACCCGTCCTCTGGGGAAGCCGAGAGAGGGTCTTCCCTTCAGTTACTTCTAGAACCCTCGGGTCCGCCCTGGCCCGTGAGCTGCTGCCACTGCCCCATCGTGTGGCTTCCCGCAGCTGTGCCTGCCCATGCCCTGGCCCTGAGAGGACGCCCACCAGCCTATCTGGAAGAGCCCGGCCCCCTGCACTCAGCAGGGACAGCAGGCACTGGGCAGCACTGCTGACTTGAGCCACAAAGAGGAGCCGAGGGCTCGAGGGCTCGAGGGCCCTCAGGTTGATGGCTGCCGTGCAGTCCTGCTCAGCAATCAGACCACATGGGTCTCTGTCTCTGTGGCCTTGAGCCGGGGTCCAGATCCCTCCCTGTGACATGGGCGGGCGAGGGGCTCCGCACGGTCCCAGCTCCCCCCAGCTGGATGCATTCTTCAGGGTGCAGGCTTGAGCCGTGGGCACCGCGTTCCTGCAGACCGCGCCTGGGCGTGAGCTGCAAGCCTGCGACGTTCGTTGCTGAGCAACGTGAAGACCTAGGAGTGGGGAGCCACGACCCGGTGGGCAGGCTGGGGTCCCTGCACTGTGGCCTCATGTTGGGGAGCAGGGCTGCAATTTGGCACAGCAGAGCAGCTCCTGAGCCCTGAGGAGGCCCAGCAGGCCCCCTCACCTCTGGAGAATCCAGAAACGCAAGGGCTGGGGCGGGGGTGGCGGCGAGGGCAAGGCCAGCCCGGCGTTGCCTGCAGGGGCCGAGCCTGTTCCCCTTTCTCCTACCCTCGTTTCACCAAGACCCCGGTGCATGTACTGTCCTGCTGGGCCGTCTGGGACCTGCACTGACTCCAGTGTCACAGGGAACGAGGCCTGGGAGCCAGCCTTGGAGGGCGAGAGACCAGTCCTGCATGTTCCAGCACCCCACGTGGTGCACCTGTCTCGCCCCCACTCCGTTGCACCCCCAGCCCTGCCTGCAGGTGCTCCCTCACCGACCCCAAAGCGGCCGCTCTGTTGGCAGAGCCCGGGCCTGGCCGCAACACAGGCAGCCACCAGAGGGCAGCAGGGGCACAGTGGTTTGAGGGCCCAGGGCAGGCGGCCCTGTGCATGGTGGGTCCCTGTGATCTTCGCCTCCACGAGGGTGCCCAGCCTTGACCCCAGTGTAGTCCGGCCCGGCGCCCCCAGCCTGCAGCCTGCACCACTCAGCGACCTGTGACCGCCTTTGTACGGCCGTCCCTGGCGCCTCCTAAGCCCAGGCAGGCTGCCCTCTGCCCTCTGCTCCCTGGGGCTGGAGCGGTGCTGGCCTGGCCAGTCTGGGGTCCCCCCTGCAGGAGGGCCTGGCCCTGATGCCCAGGGGGCTCAAGAGGTCCAGCCAGAGCCCAGCCCAGCCTGGAGTCATGATGCCTGGCAGGTCCTCCCATCTACCTAGGCCTGGCCCTCAGGAGTGGCCACACCAGCCTGAGCTGGCTGGACAGAGGCTGGGGGAGCCTGTGGGGCCGCACAGTGAGGGGCACAAGCTCCCGAACACCTGCCCCCAGGTGTGCCTCCTGGGATGGATCGCGCCCCTTCCCTGGGGCAGGAGGCTCTGGGCCTCCTGGAGCTGAGAGCAGCCCTGGGAGGCACCTCACGATGGGGCAGCGCCCACCCCGGCCTGGACAGGGCCCACCCTGTTTCTCCCGAGAGGCGGGGCAGCGCCCCTGGAGACCCAGCGCTCGGCTGCCCCCCTCATTGCACTCAAGGTTGCAGGAGCCCGGAAGGCCCAGTGCAGCCCCTGAAGACCCTGCCTTGGTGCCCCTTCCAGGGTTGGGCCACAGCTGCCCCCACACACCAGCTCCCCAGACCCCAGGAGGGAGGAGGGCCCGGTGGGTCCTGGGACACCCCCCTCCCAAGCTTTTGTTGAGTTTGAGCAAGTGACCGGCGCAGGTCCCTGGGGCCTACGGAGTGACCAGCAAGGGAGAGTGCCCCCAGAGCAACCCCGCCACCAACACCCTGCCGTCCAGCCCGTGCCCCGCCCCCACTTCCAAGAGTCCCTGTGCTCAAACAGCAGGGCTTGTCCTGTGGAGAGGCCTGAGGCCTCCCCACCCCGAGCCACAGGATGGGCCGTCCCAAGCCCTCCACCTGCGGCACCCAGAGAACCACCTGTCACACAGCTCCTTGGGGTGGCCCCTGACATCCCAGGTGGCTCCCAAGAGGCCAGATGCCCGGGGCAGTGGGGGACGCAGAGGACAGGCCCTGGCACAGACGCCCTTGCAGCCCGGCCAGCACCCCAGCTTCTTTAAGGAAGGGGCAGTCCTGGAACCGTGTGCCTTGAGACCTCAGGGCAGGCAGTCCCCACAGCTCGGGGTCCTCTGGCCTGGGGCCCCTGCCGAGGGCTAAGATCTGCCCCCGAAGAGTGGAGCTGGGAGGGAGTGAGGGAGCAGGGGGTGCATGCTGGGGCCTCGTAGCCCCTGCCCTGGGGAGCCAGTCCAGCTGAGCCCCCGAGGGCAGAGGTCAGGGAGCGTCCTCCGGTCTTGCCAGACACTGGCCAGGAGCCCTTGGTGCATGGCTGCAGAGGAGATGGGCGGCCCCACACAAAGTGAGCATGGATGTGTTTATTGGAGGCGTGCTCAGGAGTGTACAAAGAGCCTAGACGCCCCTTACAGAGCGGGGTTTGTGCAGAACGAGGCAGACGGTCGGGGCGGCTCGTCACAAGCATCCCCGGAGCCGCGCACCCCGCACCCCACGCGGCTACAACCAGGGGAGGGGAGAGGACTCGGCACCATTTCATGTTGTGGAAGCTTTGTCTCCGGAAATATAAGTCTCTCTCCACATCTTCACTGTGGTGAAGACGGCCCAGCCCCGGGGCGGGCGCCCCTCCTCCTGGGAGCAGGGGCAGGGGCCGGGGCAGAGGGGCACACGGCCACGCCCAGGACAGGCCGGGCAGCTTTGGGGACGAGCTCACAGGCCCTGAGCAAACACTGGACCCTGCCGCCCGCCACGGGCCCAGGGGAGGCAGCTGACATCCACCGCAGACGCTCGGTCAGAGTCTGAGCGGGGGCCCAGTGGTGGCGCCACCTGGCGGCTGGTCCATGGGGCCCTTGGAGGGGGCCAGCACGTCCCCACAGCCCTCTTGGCCTACGGAGCAGGCGCCCTCGGGGGTGCCCCGCTCCTCCTCTGGGGGTCCCTGCCGGGCCTGCAGCCGCTGCTGCCGCTCCTGGGCCTGGCGGGCGCGGCTGGCGATGGCGCGCACGCGGCTCTGGCTGCGGGAGGAGGAGCGCCGCAGGAAGCCGGGGCCCCCCACCGCCCCCTCCCCGGCCGGGCCCAGGCTGGTGGGCGACATGATGTCGCCAGCCTGCTGGAATCCCGTGAGCCAACGCAGCTGCTCTGTCAGGGCGTCCTGCCGCTCCGCCTGCCCCGCCGGCCCATTGCGGGCTGGGCCCAGGTGGCGGCCCAGGCTGCGGCCCAGGCTCTCAACGCGCGGCGCAAAGTCATCGGCCGTCAGGTCCCCCAGGCTCTTGGACTTGGCGGCCACGGGGCAGTCCTGGAGGCCCGCCACGGGGAGGCAGCCCCAGGGCAGCCGTGGGGCCAGGGGGCGGGGCCGCAGCTCATCTGGCACCGCAGGCAGCTGGCCCGCAGCCCGAAGGTTGGGGTTGGATTTGCTCTTGGTCACAGCGGGCAGGTCTAGGTGGACGGCAGAGGCCGAGCAGGGCCGCAGGGGCAGGCGTCCAGCCGGGATTCCTGCAAGGCCCTCACGGCCCAGGCCCAGGCCCGGCAGGGAGAGGTCGATGACCGTGTCGCTGGATGACATGCTAGAGGATGAGGACACGCTGTCTCGGTGGCTGCCTGGCTCCAGCCGCTGCCATAGCCGGTCGCTGCCCGTGGCATCTGAGTACACGGCAGGAGAGGTCCCAGCCAGGGGCCGCCGTCCACCCAGGGGCTCCAGGGGTACCTGCCCCTCACTCTTGGCCCTTCTGACCAGGGGCAGATGGCCCAGGGCCCGGGGGTGACCCCTGCTGTCCATCTGGCTGCTGGGGGCCCCCTCGTACGCTCCACTGGGGACCCTGCCGTTGCACGCCTGCTGCCTACTTTCGGGGGGCAGCTCAGTGTCCCTGTGGCTCCCAGTCCTGAGCTGGAGGAGCATGGAGGCTCCCAGAGCCGCAGCCGGGGGGCTCACTGCTTTGGCACCAGGCCCTACAGAGAACTGGGGCCCCCCGGGGCAGGGGCCGGGGGGGGCGGCCACCAGGGCTGGAGGGCCAGGGCACAGGACTGGCTCCTCGGCAATGGTTTCCAGGCTGCACAGGGAGGAGACCGACCTCTGCGAGGAGAAGGGGCAGGTGTCTGTGGGGAAGAGGGAGAGGAGCGTGTTGGGCAGTGTCCCTGTGGCCCCTGTGCCCAGAGGACCCCAGCGGCAAGACCCTCCATGCACACACAGCTGCCTCCCCCCCAGCCCTCCACTCCACTGCTGCTGGGCCGGGCAGCAGACAGGCCCTGTGCCCAAAGGTGGGACCCCCGTGGCCCCGCTGGCAGGCCAAGCCCGGCTCCTCTGGGGGCTGCCCCGTTTGTTACCTGGCACTCGGCTGCTCTCAGTTCCTAACTACAGAGGCAGCGTGGGACAGAAAGGAGAACAGGGTGGTCAGCTAGGGGTGGGGCTGGCAGATGGACAGACGGACAGCAAGGCTGGCAGAGTGCAGGGAGGCAGCAGGAGGAGGGCTCAGTTCCCACCCCTCCCTCCCCAGGCTGGAGTCTGCTCCCTGTGACAAGGTGGCCTCCAGCAGTTGCCTGTCACAACCAAGCCAGGCAGGGGCTTCCGGGGCAGGGCTGCTGAGTGTCATTCAGCCATAAATGACCTCCCAGGGCTGAGGGGCATGTGCAGTCTGCTCCAGCGGGCACTCTGCAAACTGAGGCCCCGGCGTCAGGGCCCTGAGTGCCGACTGCGGAGCAGCCTGGCCCTGGAGGGAGGTTGGGGGGGACTGGAAGCTGCCCCCAGGTCCCAGGAAGGGTGTCGGGAGCAGCTGGTCAGGCCAAGGAAGGAGGCCTGGCTCGGGCACGGGGGCCAGTTTCTGGAGGCCACGCTTGGGGCTGCGGCCTCAGCAGGCATGGCCTGGCCGTCAGGGCCACTGACTAGACTCGCTTCCTCGTCCCCACGGTGGGGTCGGGGCTCCAGGGTGAGGGCGGCTGCAGCCAGACCTGCTCTCTCTGCCTGGGCCCCTGGGAGGTGGAGGGGGGCCGCAGAGAACAAGAGGCCCAGGTGGCAGCCGTGCTCAGCTGGGGACGCCAGGGCTGCAGGGCCTGCGGAACAAGCCAAGGGAGCAAGGGAAATGCAGGAGCACACAGGGTGGTGGGCGGTGTGCACACGGAAGCGCAGGCAGCGGGGACGCCTGGCCCAGGCCATGCCAACGGGGCCGCGTCGGGGACACCTGGGGAATGCCAGGGAGGAGCTTCTGGTCTTACCCGTGGAGAACATGGGGGATTTACTCCTAATCTCCTCCAGCTTTTGAACGAACAAGGCATTCATCTCCCTCTGTAGGGCCCCCGCCTGCCTGCGGGCACCCTCGGGCCAGCAGGGGGCCACCTCGGGGCTGCCCGGGGTGCTGGAGTCCGAGGACACGGAGCCGCTGCCGCCCAGACCCTGCCGCTGGGCCCTGGGGCCCCTGGGGGCCCCTCTGCTTCTCCCCACGGCAGTGTGGGGGGCCCCCAGCGAGTCCGCCCGGGCGCGGGGCTGTTGGCTGATGGCCGCGTGCCCGCCCGCAGGCCCTGGGCTGGGAGGCCGCCCCATCCGCAAGGCCTCTGCGTCCTCACCGGCACAGGAGCCCACCACACACTTCATGCAGGTGGCGGCCATCCCAGCAGGCCTGGGGCCCTCGGGGGCACGCAGGGGCTGCCCCTGCGCCGGCCTCTTCTCTGCCGGTGCCTTACCTCGGGGGGTACGGCTGCCGGGCTCCTCCCCAGCCAGGGCCTCCGGAGCGGGGCCAGGGCTGGGGGGCGCCACGTCGCGTGCCTCCCCCTCGGAGCCCATGTCCTGTGTGCCCAGGACCAGCTCCGGGAAGGCCTTATGGGCGGGCTTCTGGCTCTTGGTCGGGGCGCTGGCCGTGCGCCGCAGGAGCCGCTGGCTAACGGAGGGCCGGGGCAGAGGCCGTCCAGCAGCATGACTGTCCAGGGAGCCGGGCTTTGGGCCTCGGAGGAACAGGCCTTTTAAGCCCAGAGCCTGCTTGACCTGCAAGAGAAGGAGCCCACATAGCTGGCGGCCAGGCCAGAGGGATGGGGGCCACTCAGCCCCATCCAACCGCGCTCCGGCAGGTGGCGGCCTGGCTGAGCCTGCTGCAGCCCGAGGGAGCAGCTTGTCGAGGGCACTGGCAGGCATGTCTGGCTTGGGCCACTCAGGGTCCAGGGCACCTCTACCAGGGATAGCGACAGTCTGCTATGGCCTCGGCACAGGCTAGGAATGCGCCCTGCCTGCACTGGGGTGGAGTGAGTCGGCGCTGGCAGAGGGTCTGCAGGTCTCAGGGCAAGTGGGCCCAGTGAGAGCGGGGGGAGGAGGCCGCCACCAGGTTCTCCCAAGCAGAGACTTCAAACCCTGGACCCTGCACCCACCACACCCTGTACCCCTCACAGGCCCCAGGGCACCTGGCTCTCAGCTAGAGGGCCCGCAGGGTGGTGCTGGTGTGGAAAGAAAGATGGAGTGAGAACCAGATGGGAACAGGCACAACGGGCTCACGTGGGCCCCGCCTTCAGGCGCTGCAGGCCGAGGAAGCAAGCACAGCCAGGCGCAGGCCAGCGGGCTGCTCTCCCATGCCCCTGCCCAGCCCGCTGCCCTGGAGGCGCTGCCTCTCCCAGGAAGCCTTCCCAGACTCCTGCCAGGCAACCATTCCCAGCCTCGCCGTGCTCTCTGCTCAATGGCACCAAGGGCAGGACCCACGCCAGTGCAGCGCCCCCGAACCCCGGCTGGCCCAGGGCTGTCCTATAGGACCTCTCCCTGCAGCCTCCCTGTCTGAGGAGGGCAGCTGGGGTCCCCGGGACTGGCTGGCAAGTGCCTGGGTCAATGCTGGAGAGGCCGGCAGCTGCATCTTCAGTGTTCGGAGGCCAGAGAGGTCCTCACATGCAGAGACCCTGATAACAGCCACTGCTCCCCAATGGCACTGGGGCACTTCCGGGCAGAGGCATTAAAGTGGCCAGCACTTGAATCAGCTTCCTGATTCAAGACCCCAAATCCAGAACAATTTGGTCCAATTGGCTGGAAAGTCATTTAGAAGAAGGTCCAGGATTCAAGCTCGGAGCTCCTGGTCACTGGGACCTCCCCACCCCTGACCCTCGACATCCGTGGGCACAGACAGAGTCAGAGGAATATATGGGGGGCAGGGTGAGGAGGGAGGGAGGGCAGGCAGGGGGCCAGGGCCCCGGGAGCTCTCAGCTAGAGGACCGGACCCTGCGGGGGGCCGGGCCCAGGCAGCTGGTGAAGTCCTGGATCTGCTTCGTAAATGCTGCTCTGTGGCTGAGGATGGCCCGAGGGACCCAGGAGCCCCATCACCACCCATGTCACATGAGCTGACAGTCTCCAAAATGCTACCGGGATTCACGGACGCTAACGGGGCGGCCTGAGCATGCAGGTGGGGCGGGCAGTACCGCCCCGCGCTGGGGTACCTTCGAGCCCCTAACAGGGCTGTGCTTCTAAAAGTAGACTTTGGACATAGAGAAGACACTGCAAGACCAAAGAGACAGAGTGAAGACCGTGAGACATGGACGGCGGGGGCGCGGAGCCCGCGGAGACAGGCAGACACAACAGACAGACAGACAGACGGGAGGCGGAGAGCTGTATCTGGCCCGCACCTCAGGCCCGTAGAGCGTGGCAGGAGAGAGATGGTTAGTGCTGGGACCTCGCAGGCCCCTCGTGTGTGCCTGACTGACCGCCGTGGGCCGGCCTGCCTGGGCCCTGGGCTCTGCAGGCTGGGACAGTAGAGCAAGACCCCATCCTGCGGCGGGCCAGAAGTGCTGGGGCGCAGGTGCAGACACAGGCCCAGTGAGGTGACCACTAGGCCCCAGGGGCCTGCGGTCAGGAGCCGGCCCAGGGGTCAGTGCTGGGGCGGGGCTGGGAGTGGGGCTGGCACGCCCCTTCCTGACGGCAGGTGCCCTGCAAGTGGCACTCACCTTACCACTGATGTCACTGACAGCCACGTGGACAAAGATGGAGGCCTCCTCCATCCCCTCCAGGTACACGTGCCGGTAGCCTGAAATAGCCAGGGTCATGGCTCACCCTGCCCCCACACTCTACTTAAAGGCCCAAGGCCCTAAATACAACCAGTGAGCCCACTCCTGAGGACTCCACCTCCTCCAGGAAGCCTGCTGGTATTGCTCCACCCTGCAGGGACCTCATCCTCTTCCAGGGGGCTGGGGGGCTCTGCAGCCTGAGCTCCCCTCCCCTACCTCATCCACAAAGCAGCTGTGGCTGCACATGCCCTCCTCAGCTCCTTCTGTGTCCCCCAGGCCCACCTGTGGCAGAAGCTACCTTGCAGGAGGAAGCTGAGCTCCACCCTGTCCTGGAGCCCTCAGCTGGCCTGTGGGGGACACTGGTCTCTATGGGGGACCCTAGTCTCTATGGGGGACACTGGCCTGTGGAAGACGCTGGTCTCTATGGGGGACCCTGGTCTCTATGGGGGATGCTGGCCTGTACGGGGGACATTTCTCTCTACAAAGGACACCGTCCTAGTACTCTACCCTCTGTCCCCTGCCCACCTGGCATCATGCTGCTGAAAGCCAGTGTCCTCTGGCCAATGAAGTCACGCCCGATGGGGTCGTGGTCCCAGACGAGGAAGCGCACCAATGCGATCTCTGGCATGTGCACTGTGAACACCAGGGTTTCCTCCCACATGGGGTTGAATCCTGGAGGCCACCAAGAGGAGGTGTCACCTCCCACCCCAGCCCAATCTCACAGGGCTCCAGCATGGAGGCCACCTAGGCCCACCACCCTCTCCTGGTGCCTCCTCCTGGGCTGGCTGCCAAGTCAAGGGGAGCGACGCCTGGAGGCTGGGTGGCCATCACTGGGCTTCCAGCCAAGGGGGCAGCCTGGAGGGTTACCTGGGTCACAGGAGGTGGCCCTGGCCCCCTTCCCTTCCTGGTCAGGCTGGCATTGCCAGTGTGGGAGCATGACGGGGTCTTGGGGCACAGGCCACCAGGTGGGGGCATGTGGCCTCACCATTGTCGTCCACCACACGGGTCTGCTCCTTGTTGCAGTCCACGGGGAGCCCAATCACTTCCACCTCCACGAAGGGGTCGATGATCTGGCACAGAGGGCAGGGGTGGCACCAGGGCCCAGGCCGGCTCCAGCCCCGCCCGTCGCACACAGGCCCCGCTCCTACCTCCCCCCGGTCCCCCAGCATCGAGTCTCGCGGCTTGGGGAGCTGCTGCCCGCTGATGATCCGCAGCACCAACTGCTTCTTGAGCTGCCCAGGCAGGGGGTCCTCGGAGTGGGGGTTGAAGATGCCTGAGGGGGCCGCGCACAAGGCTGAGCAGGCAGGGCAAGGCCCCCCACCCTCACCGGCGCAAGCACCAGCTGCACAGTGCACCCTGCCCCACCCCCAATTACTGGACTGGAGCCCCAGGCCCAGGAGGCGGAAGGGGAGGTGTGGCATTCCAGCCCAAGGGCCAGCGGAGGCCTGTATGCTGGTCACCTTGGTGACCACCTTGTGATGTTGGCACAGCTCATCCCCTCCCATAGGTGAACCCAGGGGGCTCAGCACGACTGCAAGGCTGTGCCGCCTCTGGGTGGGGGGGTCAGTGCCGGGAGCACGGTGGGGTGGTCCTGCCTAGGCCCCTGGAAGCACAGTGGGGTCAGGGGAGGGGAGGCAGCGGGAGGGCAGCCAGGGGCTTGCGCAGGCTGACAACTCGAGGGCCTGAGTGCAGATACAAGGTGCACAGCGCAAGCCGGGAGCAGGGGGCAGGGACTCGGGTTAAAGCAGGAAGAAGGCCAGTCATTGTCAGCGAGTCGGGGAGAAGACCGAGGTGTCTGGGAAGGGAGGAGGGAGCGCCCGGAGACCCCCCAGCCCAGACCCCAGCTCCTTGGGCCTCTGCGTGGGGAGGGCAGCACTGGGTCTCCTCAGACAGGCCCTGCCGCTGACCCTCATGGGGGACCAGGGTGAGGGGAGGGGCTCCCTAAGTCACCCCTCCAGATTCGTGGCAGAGTAGGGGTCTTTCACTGCATCCCAGCGTGACCTGCAGATGGCCCCCTGCAATCCTAGTGCAACCCAGCCCGCATCCCTTGTTCCCCGGGGCCTCACCCTGGCACATGCACTGGGGTTTGAGCACGTAGCCACAGCTGCCGTTGGCACTGAACTTGGCCCGGTTCAGCTGCAGCATGCGCCCCTCCGACTGGTAGTTCAGGGCGACTGCAGGAAGGACGTGAGGGGGCCTGTCAGTGCCTGCTGACCCTGCGCAGCTTCCCGGGAGCCCAGCACTGGCCCTGGACTCACAGCTGTGCACAACCGGGGCCATGCGTCTGGGCGGAACGTCCCCCGGAGCCCACGCAGCCGGCCCCCCACGCACACTGAGGAGCTCACAGGCGGACCAGCGTCCGCTTCCCACCCGGCCCTGGGCTCCTAAGGACCCGACCCCAGGCCCAGCCTGGGGAAGCTGGCAGAGGTTCTCAGAAGCCACAGGCGAGAGGACCAGGCACGGCCGCTGCGGAGCACTGGGTCGCCCCCTCCTCATCATCCCGGCCGGCAGACGCACGGCTCCGGGGAACCCACCCATCTGGCAGCCGGCATTCCAGAAGGGCTGCGGGTTGTAGTTGCTGGAGTCGACGCGGTAGGAAGAGGGGTAGATGCGGGACAGCTGGTGCTGGTTGAAGCGCAGGTACTGCGCCGGCTTCTGCTGCAGGATCTGCTGGGCCTTGGTCTCACTGAAGGACGACACCTGCCAGCTGGACGCCACTACGGGCGCAGACCGGCCTGCGTCAGGGGCACCGGGGTCAGAGCCCGGCCCTCCTGGGCGCCTCCCAGCCCCGGCCACCCCTCACCCTCCGTCTCCACGTCGTGGATGCCCACGGACTTGGTGTACTTCACCAGGTCCGAGAGGGCCCGTGACAGCTTCATGGTCTTCTTCTGCCGGGTTGCCCTGCAGGGAAGGGGGGGCAGGGTCAGGACCCCGGGGTTGGCACCCCTCTCCACTCAGGCCAGCCCGGGAGCCCCAGTCCGAGAGGTGGGCTCCAGGCCTCAGCCAGGATCACTGATTCACGCAGAACGTCCATCAGGAGTCCGCTACACCTGCTACACCCCCGTGTTCCAGGAGGGTCCGGGACTCGCAGCGGACACACTGAGAGGCGACCCTGGGGGAGGGGGCCGGCACTGAGCCCACCAAAGAAAGCCTCTCAGACCGTGACGGGCACCACGGAAACCAGCACAGGATCCGGGCTGGCCAGTCCGGCCCCTCCACTCCAGGGTCCACACCCCACTGCACTGTCCCTGAGCCACCACCAGGCCTGCATCTGATTCCTGCTGTTGTCAAGACAACAGCCTCAGCCCTGCCCGCTGCCATTGTCTCTTCCAGGGCCATGGATGCAGGCAGGGCACTGACCCTCGGCCCTGGCTGCCTGAGGAGTCCAGGTCCTCATCCCCCTCCTCCACGCTGGCCGCCATCTTCAGCTTGCTGCTCTTTTTCTGTGCAGAAGGAGGGCAGAGTCAGGACCCATGGAGTCCCAAGCCTGGCCAGGCCGTCTGCAGAGGCCGGGAGGGTGCAGAAGGTGGGCCTGCCATTCTGGGTTCCTGGCGTCCACACTGCCCGGCCAGGGATGCCCCATCCTTTGTAGGGCCCTGCTCGGCCTGGCCCCAGGGGACCTGAGCTCAGGGCATTGGCCAGTGTGGGCCGTTGACCAAGGCCCTGGACCCGAGCACGTGCAGCAGGATGATGCAGCCAGGAACTAGACAGGGGGTTCTGGGAGACTGGCCAGGGGCCCTGGGGGCTCAAGGAGACGCCTCACCCCGGCTGGCACAGGGACAGCTGGGCACATGTGGCAGGAGCACGGTGGGCTCAGGCAGGGCCCTCCCACTAGGGGCCCCACTGGACCTTGCGCTTGGAGAAGCTGCTCATGAGGAGCCGGCTGTTCCGTCTGCTGGTTCCGGCGTCCCCTCCAGACTCCCAGTCCTCCTCAGCCTGGAGGAAGGACAGACAGAAGGGACAGGGTAAGCCCAGCCTCGAACCAGGCAGGGGGATACCAGGCCCTCCTGGAAGAGGGAGAACTGAGCGGGGCCTGGAGGAGGCGGGGAGCCAGGCCAGGCCGGCTGCTGCCCCAGGTGTGGTGGGAGGCACAGTCTCCAGCCCACCTGGAGCACAGAGGCCGCAGCCCCGGAGCAGAGGCCGGAGACCAGCGGCCGGCGGCACTGACGGAAATGTTCGCTCGCCCGCCCATCTCACCTCCTCAGGCTGTGTTGTTTTAAACTCATGAAGTTCCCAGTTCGGAGGGGTTTTTTCCCAGGGACAGTGACTGCATTATAAATGCTGTTTGTCTATCTGGAACATTCCTCAGCCATGCTTATGTAATCCTTTACGAGGACCCCTGCACCTCTGCTGTCCTGGCCTGCTTCTTGCAGCAGCAAAGGGACGGGCTAATTAGACGAGTGCCACCAGAGCTGCCGGCTGTTTGCTGTCCAGCCCCGGGGTCCCCCGAAGCCACAGGGCTGAGCCTCCCTCGCAGCCATTTATAGACGACGCACATCTGGGGCTCCCCTGCCCAAGGGCCCCCCCAGGCCTGGTCCTGGCAGCACCGAGGCCCATCCTCTGGGGCCGAGGCACAAACCTCTCATCCATCCCGGAGGCTCCCTCACAGCCCGGGAGCCGCTGGGAGTCTGAGCCTGTGTCCCTGAGCACGCTGCAGCCGCCACCACTCACCGCCTAGCCCCTTCCACAGACGCCCCGAACCTGCCCTGCTGCTCAGCCTGTGCAGGGCCCCCATCCCATGCCTCGTTCCCATCTGGAACCGGGGCTGGCTTCTGTCAGGCACGCTGCAGCCGTGCACCTTCGGCTGAGGGTCCGTGTTAGAGAGGGGCTTCACCCAGAGGAGACACGTGTCACACACCCCTGCACACTCTGCATACGGCCCCATGTGCATTTCTGCATGCGCACCCCTGTGGATGCCCCTGCACAGACACACCTCCTCCACCCACGCCCCAGCCTGGCCGACAGCCTCTCATCCAGAAGACGGGCGAGGCCCTTCAGGTATGGATTCTGGTTGCCTGGCTGAGGCAGCCTAGAGCTCGACCTGGGGACTCCAGGACCGCTCCGCCTGGTGGGGTATGGTGGACCATCAGCGTCCGCCCCGTGGGCAAAGGGGAGGGGATCCCATGCTCCAGAGCTGCCTCAAAGAACCCACTGTGAGCATCCGACCGCCGTGGGGCTGAGGGCGCCCGCCCCTCGGTCTCAGCCACGTGGACACCATCTCGGCTCACATGCTGGGAGACAGAGCAGTGACCACAGACCCCACCTGGTAATGTCTGGAGGCTCTGGGCAGCTGCCCGAGCTCCAGCCACTCCCCTGGCCCTGCCCGCTCCTGGCTCCAGGAGCCTCTCGGCCCACGTCTGTGCCCCGCTCCCCTCCTCTGCCCTCGTGGGGAGTCGGGACGGGCACCCCTCCGGCTCCTGCCTCCAGCCTGGGTCTGCCCTCCCCCAGAGCAGCCGAGGGGCCTACTGGCCCTCCACACGCACATCCGGTTGGCAGGCCGCCAGAGAATCGCAGATCCGCAGTGACCCTGGCGCTCAGGACCGTCTAAGTCCCAAAGTGCTTTTAGAGATGTTTCTCTGTCTCTCCGGCCTCAGCAACACCAGCTGCTTTCCTCCTAATTTATTAAAGATTCCGCGGCTGCTGGCAGAGGCACTGGGAGCTGTGTTCACGGAGCTCAGAGCTAGTTGAGGCCAACACACTTCACGGCTCTTTAAACATCGCCTGAAACGCCACACAAAAGCGCCTATAAAACTGGGCACAACCAAGGCAGGCACACACTGGCCCAGGGTCCTGAAGTGTCTGTGGCCATGCCCAGAGTCCACTGTCACCCTCTGCATGTCCCCGTGCACCCCGAGCTTGGCAAGGCAGACCACTCCGACTGGAACTCCAACCACCCTCGGGGGGCTGTGGGCAGTGGAGGCCCCCAGTGGGCCCCTCCCGCCGTCGGGACACAGCTCAGAGCCCACAGGGGGCTCCACGTGGGAGGCGGCCTGGATGGCAGGCGGAGGAGCAGGCACAGCGCGTACAGAGCGGCGCCCACAGGCCCTGCCTGACTAAGCTCCAGCCCCGGCCACACTGGGGGCTGGGGGGCTGGGTCCTCCGCAGAGGACCAGGCCTGTCCTTGGCCATCACCAGCGCCCTCTGGAGTTATACCTACCGCTGCAGGTGAGGGTGCCCTTCCTTGCCCATCTGCTTCTTCCCCTCCAGGTAGCCACTCCTGCCACACCACACGCCCCCTGCCCTCTCCCACAGAGAAACTTGCTGGGCCCAGGGTAAGGGGGTTACAGCCTCAGGCCCTCCACAGAGGGGACAGAAAGGCACATCAGGGGGCTGTCCCTGACCCCACTGCCCAGACGCTCCCTCCTCTGCCTGGACCCCCCTCAGAGATTTCTGTGGCTCCGTGCCCCTCATCCCCATGCCCACATCCAGCAGGGGAGGGCCTGGTGCTGCTGGTGCCAGCAGGATTCTCCGATCCCCCCAACCCCAGTGCCTGGCAGCTCAGGCAGAGCTCCTCCCCCTCCAGGAAGCCCTCCTTCAGTGCCTGCTCCCCCTCATGCAGAAGGCCACTAGACACGAGGTCCCCAGGGCCAGGCTGCCCTCCTGTGTGCCCTGGGTGTGTCCCAGGTGCTGCCCGGCCACAAGAAAGCAAGGACTTCACGGCAACCCTGCCAGGCTGGCCAGTGCCACACCTGCCGCCAGCCAGAGCTGCAGAGGCTCCACGTCCTCACTGCCTAGACCTCTCAGGACCGAAAATAACCGACCACCTGTCAGCAAGGGGCCTGTGGGAGCCCCTGCATGGAAAGCGACCCCTGAGTTTCTGGTGCTGCCAACTGCACTGTGCTCCCTGTGGGAGGGACATAAACACATCTAAAAATACTGTCTTGGGGGTGCCCCTGCCAACCCCAGCCAGGGAGGAGCCACCTTCCCACCCTCTGCCAGAGCTCGGACAGTGGCAAAGCCAGTGTGGTGCGGGGTGATGGGCAGGGCAGGGCTCTCCAAAAACAGAGGACACAGTCCCCACCACCCCCCTGCCCAGCCCTGTTCACCTGCAAAACTGGGTCTGCAGGGCCAACGGCACCCCCAACCCGGCCCCGAGGCCAGCTGCCCTGGCCACTACAGCCCCACGGGATCCTCCAGCCTTCAGGCCACTCAGCTGATACAACTGTCCTTCCAGGTTTGCTGACCCCTCTCCAGGAAGCACCGCAACCAGTCAGCGTCACTGACTAAGCCTGGCCACCCCCACATGCTTCTCGTCTGCCATGGCAGCCCCCACCCCGTTCCCTCCACAGGGTTACTGCCCAGAGCTCAGCCGAGCTTCCCCATGAGGCTGTGGGGGGCTCAGCTCTGAACCCTGTGTGCCCCTCCCTGTTCCTCACAAGAGCCCTCAGTAAGGGGGCCCTGGCCTCCAGCCCCAGGGCAATGCTCAAGTCCCCATCCGCCAGGATCTGCAGGTCCCTGAGGGGCTACCCGCCCTCTCCTGCCTGCAGACAGAGTGGAGGGGGTGGGCTGGGGGTCTGCCCGCAGGTCTCAGGGGACAGGCTGTGGCTGTCAGCCACACAAACGGGGCCACCCCCACCCCTGGCTATCTGCCCTGCAACACAGTGAAGGCTGCGGGCGCCTCACAATGAGAATCAAAATGCCCAGCACCCGGGGTGGAGCCACACCAGCAGGCAGTGGGGCCAGCAGGCAGTGGTGAGCATGTGTGCAGGCGCACGTGTGCACATGTTCTGTGTACGCAAGTGTACATGTGTGCACTGGTTCATGTGTGTAGGTGTGCGTGTCTGCACAGGTTTGTGTGTGCACAGGTTCATGTGTGCAGGTGTGCATGTGTGCACCGGTTCGTGTGTGCAGAGGTTCATGTGTGCAGGTGTGTGTGTGTGCAGAGGTTCATGTGTGCAGGTGTGCGTGTGTGCACCGGTTCGTGTGTGCAGAGGTTCATGTGTGCAGGTGTGTGTATGTGCACTGGTTCATGTGTGCACAGGTTCAGGTGTATGTGTGCACACAAGTGCACAGGCATGCACAGATGGTATGCTCCGGGCCCCTCACCTGACCCTAGGCTGACCCCATTAGCCTCAGGGCTCTCACCTTTTTGCCCGCTGCCTTGTGCCCAAGTCTCTCAGTCGGGGCCAGTGTGGACACGGTGAAGTTGTTCGGGTCCTCACAGTCCCGAATCTTCGACTCCTTGATTAGGGAATCCAGTTTCCTCTTCGCAATGTTTTCCACGCGCTTCCGATTGCTGGAGGCCTGCAAGACCCAGATGGCCACTTGGCATCTGTCCCCAGTCCTGAGGCAGCAGTGGCAGCAGCCCCTGGGGTCTTGGGTGGGGCCCAGGGGCCTGCTGGGAGCCAGGGCCAGCCCTGCCCCATCTCGGCCTCTCACTCGCAGCACCAGCTGCACATTGACTCCCATGGCATGGCTTTGTCCCTGTGCCCACCTGCCCGCTCCTGAGGCACAAGGCAGGCATGCGATTTGCCCCAGGGTCACAAAGAGTGACGAGCAGCCCTGAACCCAGGCCCATCTGATTCCCATGCCTGCTTCCTTCAGCTGCACGATGCTGCCCATGAGAACCCAGCAGACAGCTCGCCGGGCGCCCGGCCCAGTGGGCCTTGGAGGAGGAGGTCAGGACACCTGGAGGCCTCTCTGGGCTCCAAGAGACACTCAGCAGCTCAGGATCTGGGATCCCACCACCCGCCACCATGCGCCTCAAAGGGATGGGCAGGGACGGGGACAGACTGCCTGGCTGGCTGGTGCCAGGGGCTGGTCAGGGTGGCCTTCAGGTACCCTCCCCGCCCTGGGCAGCCCCAAGTGTGGCCATAATGATCTTGGACACATCCAGGGCAGGGCCCGGGCCTTGGGTGTCTGGGAGTCCCTGGCCCAGGTTGGAGTGGGTGCAAGGTACACATCACAGAACGTGGGTTTATGGTCACCTTGGGCCGATGGAGCAATGCACTGGCCCCAAAGCAGAAGGAACTCCGCTGCCTCGGGGCTTTCTAAAACAATTAGCAGCATGGCCAGGAGGCTCCTGCACCGTTATTCTCCTAGCTGATGGCCCCGCAGGGAGAAATAATGTGGGGAGAAATAATGCCTTCTCTGCCTCACAGCAGCGGCTTGGAGCAGTACCCAGGGGAGAGAAGATGCGAATTAGAGGCCCCCAGCCCGGCTGTACCCGGCCCTTCGTGACTCCTCAACCTCCCCGTGCAGCCCTCAGCCCCAAGCCAAGCGGGCTGCCGCAATGGAGAAATGACAGGCCACTAGCTGGGAACTCAGGGTTTGTGTCCTGTGTGGAGGAGCAGGGAGGGGGCCCCACTGGCCCCAGGCTGAACATGTGCCCAGCAGCCTGCTGGCTTTGCAAACCACCCTCGGCACCTGCCTGATGTCCCTCTCTCCTACAGCACAGCGATGCACCTGCTCCTCGGGGCTGCAGTGCCCCCTCCCAAGGAGAAGCCCCCTCCCCACAGCCCCACTCACATCCCCATTGAGAAGCTTGCAGTCGTCGTCGATCTCGTCGGCGCTGTCCTCATCAGACACCTCACCCTCCTCAGCATCCTCGCTGATGTTGGCTGGGAGCTTCTTGCCCTGGGGGAGGAGGCAGACCACGGAGGGGCCCTGCAGGATGTACTGGGAGGCCAGTGCCTGCAGGACCAGCGGGAAAGGGAGGGTCCGTTCTCAAGCTAGCTTGTGGGTCTCAGGCCATGGGGCAGGGGCCAACCTAACACCTCCTTGCAGCAGCAGCGTGGGAGAGAAATGCCTGGCTGTGCATGTGGAGGTCCACATATTGAGTGGCCACCATGCAGAGACTGAGGCCATGTCAGTGTCAGGGCCTGCCCTGACTCCTCAAATCTGCCATAATTGGTGCAGAGCCCCAGCCTGTCTGGAACAGGGCCCTGCCCCTTACCTGGTCCCACGTCAGAGGTCAGAGGCCCAGCACGATGCTGGCCCAGGACGGCAGGCAGGGGCTCACCTTCACCAGAATCTTGCCCTTGAGCATCTGCGGAGAGGGCAGCATGGAGGCATCCTCGCTGCTCACTGAGGACAAGTCCAGCTTGTCCCCAAGGATGTCAATCAGATACTGGGCCATCTTCTTCTGCTGGATGACACTGCAGTGGTTCTCGATGGACAGGATCACTGGGTACCTGTGGCCCCAAGGTGGGGGGGGAAGGGCAAGGCCAGGGAAGGGCTAGACCCCACCTATGTAGGAGCCCAGGTCACCTGCACCACTGAATGAGGAGGGGTCTTCACCAGGAGCCTCGGATAGATGGAGCTGCCGGCCAGCTTGGGAGGGGGCTCACCAATGACTTTGAAAAGCAACTGAGAGGGTGGGAAAGGACTGGGAGATCTTAGGAACGGGTGAAGAGGGCATGTATTTCTCCCAATAAAAAAAAACAAAGGTGATTAGAAACTCCAGGAAAACAAAAGGAAAGATTCGAGCAAGCCAGCAGGTCATGGTTTAAAGACGATGTGGACCAAACTGAGATGCGATGTGATGTGACGCGTACACTGTGCGAGAGACAGTCCCATTGACCTAGACACGGGAGCCACCATCCTGTGGACGGCCCTGGAGTCCAACATTGGCCCATAAAGAAGGAGACACAGGCCTGGCCTGGCACACACCGTCTGGCGGGACAGCGTTACCACCTGTGTGCAGCACGGGGCTTTTCATTTAAGTTCTTCAGTTGCTTATTTATTTTTTTTAACTATTTGCACATTTTACTTGGATCTTTTCCAAAAGGCAACGTGATCCTTTTAGAAAATGTAGGTGACCCAGAGTTAGAGGTCATGAACCAGAGCAAGAGAGGGGCAAGTCCCGTGGTGCGCGGAGGGCAAGCAGGACTCGAGACAAAGGAATTCATCCCCCATTTCTCCTGCAAGGGACTGAAGCCTGGAGCTCAGGGCCTGGGGAGAACCCTGTGCCTGTGAAGATTATGCTGTCATGTGACATGCAAGCCTGTCCTGAGACCCCAGCAGGTCCCTGGCCCCTCGGTATCTACAGGAGACCTGTGTGTCCCAGCCCACCACCCTGAGACAGCCTCTCACCTGCAATTCCAGAGGCCAGGCCGCCCTGCAGAGGCCCCTCCCTCACTTCTACTCCCTCCCGGGCCTGGAAACTGAGCCCAGGCCAGCTCCCCCCCGGAGGGCCCTGCTACTTCTATTTCCTAAATCAATCTTGTTTCTCCTCCCTTCCTTCGTTCAATTAGCCGCTTCCTCGCCTGCGAGGCTCGTCGGCCAAGACTTGAAGGGAACTCAACAGTGAGGGGAGGCGGGCTTCTATTTCCAGAAACTAAATTGGACTTTGCTCACTGGCGTCTGCAGCCACAGTCTGAGTGACAGCAAATTGAGTCTGGACACAGAGTGGCTTCTTGGGGGTGACTGCTGCCAGAGCCACTGCTGCGGGTGGTTGCCACTGTGGGCTGCCACCAAGCGTACGTGGACAGGGGCTGCTCGCACACACGCCCTCTCCAGCCCCGGCCCATCATGCTGTCGCTCCCGTCCCCACCGCGTTCCCTCTCCCAGGAGCTGCAGCTCCACTCCCTCCCCGCCCCTCATCCTCAAGGAGAGACCCCGAAACAAGCCCCTCAGCCACTACTACCACTGTCCCCCAGAAACAAAGTGGGAGAGAGGCAGGAGGACCCCCTTGAGCCCCTGCCCCAACCGCTCCCCGGGCCGGCCCACTAGTCCCGGCCACTCACTCATTCTTGACGAAGGCGTATTTGTTGATGGTTTCAATGACGTCTTTGAACAGGATCTTGGAGGTCAGAGTGTAGCCGTGGTGCACAATGGGCTCCCCGTCGGGCCCGTCCCAGCAGTCCACTGTGGAAAGGCTGACCCCGGTCAGTTCCGAGGGCTTGGCCACCAAAGCCCAGAGATCTGCAGCCCAGAGACTCCACCCGAAGGAGGACGTCCTGCTCAGTGATTAACACCAGGAGAGCCCTTCTCCAGCCCCGGCCTGGGCAGAGGGCAGAGACCGCACAGGGCTCCTCAAGGCCGCCCCCCCCCGGGCTGAGGGGGCGCAGGGTCCCCGAGCCCCCACCGCTCACCCTCCACGCAGCGGCAGCCGGCCTGCAGGACCCAGGCGTACATGTCCACTCGCGACTGGGACATGAGCTGGTCGCCCACGAGGTAGGTGTTGTGGGACGAGGTGATGAAATAGTGGCTGAGCGGCCGCGTCATGTCCTGGTGCACGCCGTGGTGCTCCGGGTTGAAGATGTCACCAGCCGGGCTCCGCGTGTAGTTGGTGAAGCCTGCAGGGGGAGCATGGGGTGGGGACTCAGCCCCCGAGTGCTGGCCCCACCACTGAGCTCCTCTCAGGACCACCCGCCCCGCACACCATGCGGAATGTGGAGCAACCTGCTCAGGACACCCATCCAGGTTCACAGGCTGCCCATCAGCATCCCCTCAGCCTCCCAGGACAGCCGGACCAAGGGGTGCCCACTCACCGTCAACGCCCAGCACGCCTTTTCGCTTGTTTTCTGGGCAGGGCTCAAACTGCTCGATGATGTCCTGGCAGCTCTCAAGTGTCACACCCGTCATCTAGGCCAGAGCAGGGGCATAAGCCTAGGCTAGCCCATTGCTGGCCTGAGCTAGCCTTGGCAGCTGCCCGTCCTCCACCCCCAGTGCCACGACCTCCCAGCCCATCTCCAGTTGCCGTGTGGGGCTGACCACAGCAGGGGTGAGGCCGTGGCCCCTGCAGTGTGCTTTTCCCGCTGAGGAGCTCACTGGCCACCCTCCGTGTCATGTGACTTGGGACACTCAGTGGCCAGTGGACCACAGGGTGGTCACATGGCTTTGGAAGAGCTGGCTCTGATTGAGCATCCTGGAAGCAGGGGAGGGGCCTTTGGTCTCATCAGCTGGGCCACCCCCTCTGCCATGTTAAGGGTCCCCAGAGCTGTGGACCAGGACAGGCTGGCAGGGAGCGAGGGCCACATGTGAGAAGGCACAGGCCCCACGTCCCACCTTGGAGGAGCCCGGGTCACGGGAGCCTCCTCTTCACCTGCTTCCTGCTCTGTCTACCCAAGTCCCTCGCGGGAAAGCTGTGCCCCACAGCCGAGCCCAAGGCGGCCCCGCGGGGTGGAGGCTGAGTGACCTTCCAGGGCCCTCCAGTGCAGCCCAGGCCAGGAGCCCCCGGTGGCAGGCCTGCCAGTGGGTCTTCCAGGAACCAGTGGGAGGTGGGCATAGGGGGGAGGAGAAAGGGGACAAATGAGGTCACTGACCAGAGCCGCTATGAATCTTGGGAGGCCCAGAGTCCATGGGCCAGGCTAGGGCTCAAGTTGCCTGCCTGGTGGACAGCTTTGGCCCCAGACTATAGGGAGAGTTCTCAAGAACTTGCTTGGGGCAAAGGTCAGGGAGCAACGGGTCAGTTCTTCCCATCACAAGCCAGGCCACATTCCTGCCCTCTGTCCCCACGCATTCCAGCAGCAAGGACAGAGGGCCCACAGCCTCATTCCAATCCTGCCCACAGTGGCTGACTGAGAGTGAGTCTCCCAGAGCAGTGGGATCCAGCCATACTGGTTCTAGCCACTCTGGCCTGAGCAAGACCCCAGAATTGGAGAGGAGGTAGATGGGCTGTCACAAGGACAGAGTCTTGGCAGACTGTGTGACAGCATTGGGGAGCGATCCCAGGAGCACAGCCCAGGGGCAGGCCCCTAAGTTACACCCTGGGTTTGGGGCAGCCTTGTGGGACAGAGCGCAGGTGGGACCCAGGACTGCAGAGGTGGGAGATCCTGGGCAAAGACCCCATAGACCCAGCCTGGGTCCTGCAGTCACCACCCAGCCTGCAGCCCTGCTCAGGGGAGGCTGCCTGTGGCCCATCACTGTGAAGCTAACTGCACACAACGCAGGGTGGAACAGAGGGCCCTGAGCTGTCCCCAGGCCAGGGGGTCTGGCCCCAGAAGGGCAAGGATGCTGGAGCCCGGAGGCTGCCCCTCTCCACTCTCTGCCCAAAAGCATATCCACAAGGGTCCCAGGATGGTACAGGCCTGGGAAGTGGTCCTCATGGCTGCCTCCCGCCAACCCTGAGGGTGGGGCCACACGCTGTCTAAGCCCCCCACGGAGGCACTCTCTCCTTGGGAGATGCTGGCCTTCCCCTCTCCTACCATGGACTTCCCAGCCTCCTGCCCACCAGAGCAGGCAGCGCCCAGCCCCTGTCTGGGCTGGACACCAGGGGTCCAGACCCCTGAGTCTCTGGACGCTGGGGCCCCCAGTCAGCAAGACCATGCCCAGGGAACACTCAGCCTCTTGGGATGAATAGGACTGCCCGTGGTGGAGAGAAGTAGGCAGGCGTACCCCACTGGCACCTTGAGGGATCTGGGCATCTGCTGACATATGGGTGAATGGAAGTGGCAATGGGCCCAGAGCTCTGGGGGCACGAGCCAGCCAGATTCACATGGCTGGGACAGGTGGGAGGGGTGCACCATGGAACCCTAGGCCCAGGAGACACCCCATGATGCAGTTGGTGCCATGGTGAAGGGCGAGCTCCCCTCTGGAAGCTCTGGGTGTCTGCAGTCAGGGCTGAGCTGCTCCAAGGCCCATAGAGGAGAAAGCACAAACCCTCCTCACCCACTATGCGGCCCTCGCGGGACACACCCTGGAATATACTGGCACGGCCCGTGACGGGAACTGAAGCCGGTCCGCTAAGTGGAGGCAGGTATGGGGACCTCAAATGCCAGCCGTGGCCCATCCTTCTCCAAGCTCTCAGCCACACTGGGAACAGGCTCAAATGCCCTGGGAAGCTGAAGTAAGGCCACATCGGCCAGGACCGACGCTCCTGCCAGGTTGCCCTCACCTTCTGCTCCACCTCCAAGAAGCGCTGGAGGTCAGCAACATCCAGATGGTCCTTGTGGTTGCTGTAGGTCAGCATGAGCAGGTAGAGGTCCCGGCGGGTGGACATCATCTTATAGAAGGCACAGAACTCCTCAAAGCCCAGTGTCCCCTGCTGGTCATCCGTGTCCGCTTCCTGTAACACAGGCCTCTGGGTCCCCCCACATCCTACCCTGAGCCACATCCATCAGGGGTCCTCCAGGCCCACCCCCATGCCTCAGTCAACCATGAATCACAAATCCATACTCCTCCTTCCAATGCCACTACCCATGTTATGGTCCATGATTGCTCCCCAGGACCCTTGGGCAGCATCTTCACTGGGCTCCCCCTCTGACTCTCCCACCAAGAAGCCACTGAGTGACTATTTACCACAGATCTAATCCAACCCTCCCCTAGTCCAAGCTTTTCAAGGTCATCCTACAGCTGAACCTGGCATAGTCACCCCACACTGAGAGTCAACACCCTACACTGGAGCCAACACCCTGAACTAGGAGCCAACACCCCACTCTGAAGCCAACATTCTACACTGGAGTCAACACCCCACCCTGGAGTCAACACTCCACATTGGAACCAACACCCTGTACTGGGAGCCAACACCCCACTCTGAAGCCAACATCCAACACTGGAGTCAATACCCTACTCTGGAGTCAACACCCCACATTGGAGCCAACACCCTATACTGGGAGTCAACACCCCTCCCTGGGAGTCAATATCCCACCCTGGGAGTCAATACTCCACCCTGGGAGCCAACACCCTACTTTGGACCCAACACCTCACCCTGGAGTCAACGCCCAACCTAGGATTCAACACCCCACATTGGAGCCAACACCTCGCCCTAGAGTCAACGCCCAACCTAGGATTCAACATCCCTCTCTGGGAGTCAACACCCCAGCCTGGGAGTCAACACCCCACCATGGGAGTCAACGCCCCTCCCTGGGAGTCAACACTCCACCATGGGAGTCAATACCCCACCCTGGTAGCCAACACCCCATCCTGGAGGCAACACTCCACCCTGGGAGTCAACACCCCTCCTTGGGAGTCAACACCCCACCATGGGAGTCCATACCACTCTCTGGGAGTCAATACCCCACCCTGGGAGCCAACACCCCACCCTGGAGTCAACACCCCACTCTGGGAGTCAACACCCCTCCCTGGGAGTCAACACCCCACCACGGGAGCCAACACCCCACCCTTGGAGTCAACACCCCTTCTTGGGAGTCAACACCCTACCCTGGGAGCCAACACCTCACCCTGGATTCAACATCCCTCCCTGGGAGTCAACACCCCACCCTGTGAGCTAACATCCCACACCAGGAATCAACACCCCTCCCTGGAAGACAACACCCCACCCTGGGAGCCAACATCCCACACCGTGAGTCAACACTCCAAACTGGGAGCCAATATCCCACACTGGGAGGCAACACTTGACTCGGGTAGCCGATACCCGACCCTGGAGTCAACACTCCACCCTGGGAGCCGATACCCCACACATGGAGTCAAGCATACCCCACACTGCAGTCAATAGCCCCCTCTGGAGTTAATGCCCACCCCGAGCTATGAGCCTGTAATTACAGTCGCTGCCCATTGCTCAGAAGAGCCTCGGGAGGTACAGCAGCATCCTGGCTCCCACTCCACAGCAGAGACGAGAGGACCTTGGTCTTGGCCACTGTCCTTCTTTGCAGACAGAGCAGTTCACATAACACTCTCAGGAACCCTCAGGGGCAAAGCCACTATGACCCCAATGAGCCCATGAAATCCTTCATGAGTCCACTGGCTCAGGGAGCATCTCCTGAGGTGTCAGACCCTGGGGATGCTGAGGGCCAACGCCGGGGACAGACCTAGAGGACAAGGGCACCCAGTGACTGGAGGCCAGGCTGCCTAGAGGAAGTCTGAGGTGCTACAAGGCCGTGGGGTCCCTGGGGTTGGGCAAGAAAGGATCTGTGGGAGGTGATGCTCAAGGTTCTGAGTACTCAAGACAGGTTTTTAGTCCAGTGGGGTGGGAGTGTGACGTGAGCACAACCTGCTTGGAGGTGACGGGCTGACAGGGACAGACACCAGGTCAGCACCATGGATAGCAGCACTAGCCAGACCTGCCAGCCACGTGGATAGTGTTTCTCACATGGCCACACAATCTGGGGTGGCTAGAGGTGGGTGCCAGGTCCCTAAGGCCCCCTCTGAACCAGAAGCATCACCAGTGAGCCAGGTGGCCACAGCCTCTCCTACATCCCCATCCCTAGGGAGAGCAGGGCTCCCAGGAAGGCCGGGCCCTGACAGTACTCCTGGCTGCTGCCTTCCCTGGGCACTGTGGTTTGGCATTGAGACGGGCACCCAGCAGGGCCACAGCATCTCCCTCCAGGACCCGAGCACCCATGCCAAGGCTGGGAGGGGACTAGCTTGGCATGAGGGCCCAGCAGGTGCCAGAGGAAGTGACCCTGGTGTGTCTGGTGCTGTCTCAGAGGGTAGCCCTGCTTCTGAGAGCTGGCTGGACAGACCGAGCCAGGGCATGTGTTGCAGGTCAAAAGGTCCCTCGGGACCAAGCCTGGCTGGTAGCCCTCCCAGGGGGTGTGGCTGGAGCTGGGCAGAGATGCCCAATCTGTCAAGTGTCCAGCCCACAGGGTGGTCTGGCCTCCACCAGGCTCTGTGCTGGGTGCCATAACCAGGAGTCCAGGGCCAGGTAGCTGCCTGCTCACCACCCGAATGCAACACTTTATGATGACGGGGCTCTCGGGAGACCCAAAGGATGGATCTGACCCCCAGCCCCAGCCCCAGCGCCGCCTCCCAAGATAGTCGAGCGCCTGCTTTTCCTTCCACAAATGGAAACAGCTGCCGCTGAACACACGCCCGCTGGACCCCTCTGCTGAGCCAGGCCTCTGCATTGGCCCAGGGTGCTTATTAGGCGATGAGGCCCAAGGGCCACGCTGGGACTGGCCTACATTCCACTGTCATCTTAGACTTAATGAAATTATGTTCAAACCACTCTTTACCCACTACACATATCTCTCTCTTGATTAGACAATTCCAGGTGGTGGAAATAATATTGAGATTTCTCCACAACCAAATTGACGCTAATTATCAGGGCTCCTTTGCCTGGCTGGAGGTCGGCCCTCCCCTGGGCGGCTGTGCAGGGCAGGGAGGCCCAGGAGCTCAAGGCCCAGAGCCGTCTCTGCTGGCCCAAACACCGTGGACAGTGGCTGCTTGGGTCTGAGCTCCCCAGGGTCTGGGGTCCACAGCTCCAGGCCAACAGCCCCCTGCTCACTTCTCTCCAGAGCCAGCCTGGAGCCTGCCCCACCTTGGCCTCAGGCTGCAGGGTCTCTCCCCACTGCCCAAGGCTTCCTCGAGGTAATCTGGGGCTGGTCACAGGGCTCGTCAGGGGGCCCCTTGTGGGAGAGGCCCATCATCCTTACAGGAGGGGCAGGTGGGCATGGACTTCCCCCAAGGTCCTGGCAAGAAGCCTGTTCAAGCAGGAGTTGGGACCTTCTGCCCCAGGAGCCTGCGGGCACTCCCACCCCATTCTATGAGGGGCGCTCATCTCTCCTCCTGCCTCGGAGACCAATCTGGACCCCATGCCCTAAACCAGACTATTGCCTGGCCCCTGGCACAGGCTCACCATTCCAGAAGGGCCAGCTGACCCAGAGCTGCCCCTGGAGGCGGGCAGGCAGGGAGCAGGTTGGGGGCTGATCCGCAGGCCTGAACTGTCTGCCAGCTCCTCGCTGCCCAGGCAGGCCCTGTCCCGCTGGGGCCTGCAGGAGGGGCCCTGTGAGGCCCCCAGTCCTCAGCCAGCAGTCTGGGAGCATCCTGCTGGCCCCCCTCATTCACACACAGACCCAAGCACTCTGAGCCAGCTGGTTCCACTCGCTCCAGCCGAGCACGACAACCCATCTATCATGAAACACAGGCGGGAGCCGCCAGGGGCCATGCCTGGTGGAGCGCTCACCTATGTGTGTGTGTGTGCATGTGTGTGTTGGGGTGTGGAGCCTGGTTCAAGCTCACAGAACCCTCTTTGCATGCTGCAGCAAGACCATGAGGCCCAAGGGCCAGGTTTGCCTGCTCACCCCTCCCCGCCCCAAATCAGGACCTGCTGACACCATGTTCCTCTCCCCTGCCCAGCAGGGGTTCTGGAAAGAGAAAAACTAATTACAGACAATAAAGGCCACCACTCAGCTGAAGGATGCATTTTCATAAATTGTAACACCAGGGTGGCTGGCCGCCCGGAGGCCACACAGGGTAGGTAATCAGAGATGCTGCCCAAAAGACGGGTATGCCGGTGCCCAGGACCTTACCAGGGACCCCGCCAGGGCCAGTGGGCCCCATTAAGGCTGGGGAGTCATGGGGAAGAGTGGGAAAGGGGGAAGCCCCCTTTGGGTGGTGCCCTCTCTGACCTGGCACCCACCTCAAATGCCCAGTCCACCCGCCTGGAGAGGCCCCGGGAGCTACTGCAGTGATATCAGCACAGCTGCAAAGAGGCAGCACCTGGAGGCATCTGGCAGACCCCGTGCACAGGCCCAGGGGTGCCGTCCCTGCCGGCTCGTGCCCCGGCCCTCACCTTGAACATCTGCTTCACCCTGTGCCGAGGCAGGCTCACGTTCAGCTTGTGCAGCAGCTGCAGGACCTCGCCCAGGCTCAGACTGCCGTCGCCGTTCTTGTCCGCCTCGGCGAAAGTCTGCTTCAGCCACTTTGGGGTCGAGTTAGGGGCCAACGTGGGTCCAGCAGAGCCACCCAGGCCTGTCCCTCACCCAGGGCAGGAAGGAGTCGGGGGACCCCAGCCCAAGTGCCCGGCCCTCCTCTCCTTACCCAAACACCCAGCCAGGGGCAGGGGAGCTCCACCCAGGGTGGACAGTGGAAGGACCCATCCCTGGGGTCTGCCCCTCGAGCCCAAGGATATTGGTCCCTAGTGCGCTGGCGGCGGGCCAGGCTGTCCTCGTCACTGATGCCAGCCATGAGGTAGCGCAGGCCAGTGACCCAGATGCGCGCCTCGTCACTGCTGGGGGAGACCAGGTCCAGCGACTCTCGGTGGCTGCCGTGGTAGATGCTGAAGCAGCAGTTGGGGTCGAAGCTGCCATCAGGGTATCGCTGGAAGATCTCTGACTGCCGGCCCTCGCTCACCTCCTGGATGGAGTCGATGGAGACTGCAGGCAGGGGCGGGGTGGGGGGTGTAACAGTCACAGTCCCCCCAGGGCCAGGTGTCCCCCTCCACAGCCTGGAGGGTCTCACAGCAACGGCTCCACCCTGGTGGACGCTGCCCCACTCAGCCCCGAGCAGCAAGGCCGGTGCCCTTTCGGGGTTCCCTTCCCATCTGAGGCGGGGGTGGGGGTGCGTTTCAAGGGACTCTCAGGGTGGAAGAAGGAAAATCCAAGTGTGCTCGGGAGGGGAGCCCGCCCCTCCACGCTCTGCTCTGACCCTGACCCTGCCGCCCCCTTCATCTGGGTGTAAGAAAGGCACACTCCCACCAAGAGGGAGAGGGCCACCTCCCCCAGTTAGCAGCCCTGGGCTCTGGCCTCTGCATCTGGCCAAGGCTGCAGAGTGAGGCAGCCTGGACAAGCCAATTCCACCTGTCAGGCTCTGGCCAGCACATCTCCCCATTCTGAGAAGGTAATTGCCGTCTCCGTAATAAGCCCTGGCACCAGCAGGTGGGGGACCGGGGTGCAGTGGGGTCTGCCTAGCAAGCGCTGGCTCAGGCTCCATCAAGGATTTTGTTACTGACCGCAGCACCCGGGGCTCCAGGGAGCCTCCGTGCAAAAGCTGAATTACCACGCGTCAGTGAGCTCCGAGGGCATCTTCAGGGTCTGTTCTCATGCACATGGCACGGCCCCCTCGCAGACATTCAGGGCACAGGTGGCCAGCATCCCTCCGAGAGCCAGGTACCTCGGCTCGGCACAGCCGGGGCCCGCCACCCGCACTCACACCAGTCCTCACTGCCTCCCAATGCCACCGGCACTGCCTCGGGCTGCTCAACGTGCCAGGCTCTGCACCCTTCTGGGAGGCCTCACGTCCAGTGCAGTAACAGTGGGGCTTCTCCATCCTCTGCAGTGAGGGATGGCCTTGCTCCTCTACCCTCTGCCCCCCACCTCCCCCAGGCATGCAGAGCCCACCCACCTAGGGGCCTATCCCACCTGCCTTCTCCAGCTCCCTGCAAGAATGCAGGTGTGTCCCTCCCTCCTGGGGACCCCTCCAGGGCCACAGTCAGCTCTAAACACCCAACTGGGTCTCCCCGAGTCCTAGCCTGCAGGTTTCTGCCCAATCACCCCTTCTCCAGGAGGCCTCTGTGATCCCCTTCCGCCCACTCCCCTCTATCACCAGCTTCTGTATTTTTCTTGTCACTCAGCACGTGGTTGCCCTATCATAAGGTGACGTTGCCCACCTCACACTCGAAGGCCAGCTTCTAGTCAGCCAAGTTCCCACAGGATGCCCAGCATGGGGAACAGTGCCTGGCACAGAGCAGGAACTCCTGACAGCACAGGGGCTCCACTCCCCCTCCTCCAGGAGGCCCTCCCAGGGAGCTCTGCAGCGTGGCTCTCTCCTGGGCCCCGTGGCAGTGGCAGTGCCCTTGGCAACCACAGGGCTGAGGCAACCTGCTCTGGCACACCTGGGTCTCTCCCGCGGGCAAACCAGAGGAGGGGTAGTAGCACCCCTCTCCCTGCCCATGAGGGCTCTGTGTCCCTTCTTGACCCCCAGGACCCCTAGTCCAGTCCCTGCAGTGCCCCACTCAGAGATCGACCCCATCCCATGTGTCCCCTGCACAATGCTTCCAGCTCAGGACCCTCCTCACTCCAGGCAGCCCTGTAGCCTTCACATCCCCACGTCAGCCGCTCACGCCCCAGGCAGCCTGGGCCAACCCTTGGCATAAAAGCCCTACCCACAGCATGGCCCGCGTGCTCTCTCTCTGCAGCAGGTCTTATCTCCCCAGCGGGACTGAAGGTCCTTTGCCTCTCAGCCCATCCCAGCATCAAGCACAGGGCCGGGCCCTGGGGCCACTCAGTCTCCACTCAGTCCCAGAGGGCTCTGCCAGGCCGTGGTAGAGTCTGGGCCCTGAAGGGCATGGGGCCCTGCCCCCACCCCACCCTGCACCCAGAGGTTACCGCAGAACCCCCACGGCCGACTGCGCCCATGCGGCACGCCTGGAGCCACCTGGAGACTTGCCGGTCTCAGGGTCTGGCAGCTCACACGCTGTCCAGTGGCTGCTCTGGGAGAGGTCCCTGCACCCCGAGTGCTGGTCTGGGGCCCTGGCCCCTCCCCCAGGCTGCCCCACTCACTCTTGGCCTTCTCGTTCTTGCGCGAGGGCCGCCAGCGGATGCAGGAGCGGTGCTCGTCCAGGAAGTAGAAGCGGACCAGACCCTTGGAGCTGCCACGGAGCTTCACCATCTGCGTCCCTGCCTGCATGGCACTCATACATCGCTCCACTGGACATCCACAGACCCCGTCACACAGATGGATGACCAACACAGAGACAGACAGACAGGGCGCCGGTGAGTGCTGCGGCAGCCCCACCGCTCACCGGAGCCCAGCCCCACACCCACCTCCACGTGATCAAGGGGGTGCAGAGACCACCCATCCACCATCTGCTTACCCACCAGGGGGCTGAACTCAGACCCCCAGGGCTGCCTGCAACCCCTAGGTGCCGGCCTGGATCACACATTCAATCTGGGACCCTGCTCAAGGGCCAGAGTTCACGCAGAGAAACAAACCGATTCTGCCCAGCCACCCTCCTTGTGGTCCTGGAGCCTGAGGCCCAGGCAAGGTCCCAGACCGAACCCTGTTCCTCCCTAACTCTGCTCCCATCTGGCTGCCTGCCCATCCCAGCCTCCACCACCTGGACCAGACCCAGCGGCCACCATGACCTGCCCCAAAGGCTATGACACAGGAGAAGACACAGGTGCGTGGTGGCTGAGCTGCTGTGCAGCAAGCCTCTGTGCCAGGCATGGGGTGGGCCCCGGTGGGCAGCAGGCAGGCGGCCGCCCCGACGACATCTGGCTTGGCTGCTGGCCCAGCCGTAGGCAACTCCTGAGAGCAGACGGTCTTGCTCCGGAGCCCCTGCACCCCCTTTCCGTGGCATCTTCAGGAAAGTAGCCCGCCTACAGGCAATAAGGATGGCACCACGCACATCTGCCCCGGAGACCACGGACGGAGACTCTGCGAGTACTAGGGTGCAGACCTGGGATGGTGCAGGGCCAGATTTGAGCTCCAGAACCCAAACTCTTCCCTCCACGGGGTCCACCTGCCTCTTCCCACCCCTCTCTGTCCTCCCCTCCCCTCCTCTGTCCACCTGGCCACCTGTCTCCAGCTTTTACATGTCTTCCAGGTCCCAGGGGAGGGGGTGCCAGCCAGGACAGCAGCTCCCTGGGTTGGGGAGGCTGCAGGCTCCAAAGGTGCAGGCTAGCGTAGTCCTGGCCCCTCTTGGGCCCCTCACACCTGCTTACAAAAAGCCCAGGACCCAAAAGGGCCATCCACTGAAGTGCCAAGTCATTAAACCCCACGCGGTCCAGACAGTGAGGGACCCTCAGGTGGTTTGCGGAGGCCCATGGGCAGTGTCAGCCCAAGGGGACCAGCCAGTGAGGACTTCTTGGAGGAAGCCATTCTCTGACCCTGAGCGCATGTGCCGGGGGAGGGCACACGGGGAGGCTGGGCTCCACAGGGGACAGGGGAGGTGAGGGCACAGGTGGGGCTGCTGGGATGCAGGTAACAGGTGGGAGGGGTGAGGCAGGAGATGGTGACAGGGCCAGGCCCCAGAGGCCTAGAACAGGATTCCTGGACCAGGCCCCGTCTGGCAGCTGAACCAGAGACGGGGTTGGGTAGACAGCCCTGAATGGGGCCTCCTGTGGGCTGGCCCCCCAAAGACAGACACTCCACGTTCCCATCCCCACCCGGCAGGCTTCGTCCTCCCCATGCCCACGTCTCTCAGCAGAGAGGTGCACCCCGCCTGCATCCAAGGGCTGTTGTGTTGGCCCCACATGCCGGCCCCACCGCCCTGGGCTGAAGGTGCTGCCACCCCTCAAAGTGCCAGGACCCCTCACTGAAAGCTTCGGAACTGTCTGAGCACCCAGCAAGGACATGCACCAGGGCCCCAGCCCCTCCCTGCCCCTGTCTCACGCACCCTCACCTTCCCTGCTGCCCGTCTGGGGTTCAGCCTCCAGGCCCCGAGGCGGTGTTCAGAGAGGCAGGCAGACCAGAAGATGCTGCTGGAGCACCACGACCCCCAGAGGGAAACCCAAGGGTGTGGGAGATTACAGGGTTGCACAGGGGTAGGGTGGGAGCCCCCAGGCTGTTCACATCCCCAGGAGCACCCCCACCCCATTCCGGCCCCCATGGCTGGGCGGGGCTCTGGCCACGGAGGCCCCTGATGGCCAAGCAGGCCTGCCCCCTTACCTAGTGAGCCAAGCTGCCACCTCGGGGATGCGGCCACACTCCCTCCGACCCAGAGGAGGGCTTCCAACAGGCAGGCTACCGTTCCCTTCGTCCGGCTGGGGGTAGATGGCCAGGGAATGGACATGCCCAGATGACGGCCAGGTGTGGGCTCACAGAGCCCAGAGAAGGCCGGTGCCCCCGCTCTGCCTCAGCAGCAGGTCAGGCAGTACAGGCAGCACAGGGCTCCAACGGGCCCCTTTCTCTTCTCTGCGTCTTCCTCCCCCTCAGAGACCCCTGAGGCCCCTGCAGGGCTGCTCCCAGACACCTCTGGCATTGGCCCAACGATCACCTGCTGTCCCAGATGGCCCCCAGGCCAACCCACCCACCCGCCAGGCCACGGAGGGGTCCCCGAAGAAGCAGCGTCGCAGGGTCTGGGGGTGGGGGAGCCGCAGCGCCTCTGCCCGCACTGCCCATCACCTGCGCAATCCCCTGCCCTAATCCCAGCCTGCATCCAGCCCAGCTGGCCAGAGGATTTAGGCCAAGGAAACTCCCAGCTGGGGCCCAGGAGGGGACTGGCCAGGCCACCAGCCCCCAGGACAGACAAGTGGTCCCCCATGAGACCACCCCCAGGGTGCACCCTCAGGCCCTGCAGGAAGCGGTCTCCCCACCATCCTCCCCGTGCTGGACGTCCAAGGCTGCTGCCCATTCTCCACCCCAGCCTGAGCCCCAGGACAAGCCCACACCTCTCGTACTCACGGGGAGGTCTGAGTAGATTCCTACCATCCTGGGGAGCCTGGAAGTGGGACAGAAGCCGCAGCCTCTTGTCCCCTAGTGCCTAGCCCTCTGTGGGCTGGAGACCATGAGCCAAGCTGGAGCAAGGCTGCCTGCCAGGTCTGGCTCAGGAAGGACTGGGCCACATGGGGCCCCCTTCTGCTGTGACTCCCAGCACCGGCTGGAGGGTGCAGGTCCCCCGAGCCTGGGCCTAGCATTCCCTGTCTCCCTCGTCCAGTTCCAGGCCCCTGGCTGTGCAACTGCAGTCCCCAGGCACCAGCCCCCAGCCTGACCTTTCCGGGTGGAGGCGGCCCATTGCCTGGGTGCATTCATTGCTGCTTTCTGTCCCCGGACACTGGGCTGGCCTGGGCCACTGCCCTCCTCATGATGGACCTGGCCTGGGGGAGGAGGCCCAGGCCCAGGAAGGACCTGCCTGCCTGCCTGCTGACCGGACACAAGGCCCAGTCAAGGCCATACCAGCTACGGCCTGGACAAGGGCAGCCAAGCCCAGAGGAGCTGAGTGCACTGTGAGCAGGAGCAGGTAAGCAGGAGAGACAGGGAAGATGGCACGGCCGCCTCTCGCAGTCCAGGGGCCACTGGGCCAGGGCAGGTCAGCCTCGCCAAGGGGTGGCCCGAGGCCAAGGGGCAGAATCCCACCCCAGAGTCACAGCTGCGGTGAGGACTGGGGCCTGGTCCTGAGGACCCCAGGGTGCTCCTGCCACTGGACCCAGGAGCCCCCAGCCCACCTGTGTCCCCTGCCCAGGCACGGCAGGGACAGCATAGGTCCCTGTGTTAGGGGCAGCCTGTGGCAGGGCTGGGCTGCCCACAAAAGCCCCCTGTCCTCATCGCCATAAATCCCACCACTCCTGGACTGTGCTGAGACAGGGGCAGCCACCCTTCCCTCCTGGGCACAGAGGGGAGGAGCCGGGCCCGGGCCACAGAGCCAAGGACAGGAGAGCCAGAGGCTGGGCAGGCTGGAACAGCTGCTGTGTCTAAGGTTGGCAAGGGTGGGAGGTGACAGGCCCCGAGGAGATAGCAACGCGCATCCTGGTTCTGGGCTGACCACAGAGAACCAGGGAACACCCGGCCGGATCCAAAGTAATCGACTCAAAGCCAAATGCCAGAGCCGTTTGCCAAAGAGGCACTGACTCATCCCTTGCTGGAGGCAGTTCTGCGTGGAATCGGACCAGGGAGCCCTCAGCCTCTGGGGTGGGAAAGGGGACGAGTCCCAGGCATCCCCAGGAAGACAGGGCTGCCGGAGCCCTGACAGCATCGCCATCTGCTGTCTGCACCGGGGGTCCGAGAGGAGGGGAACCAGAAAGCCGGGGAGCATCTGGACCAGAGGGCAGGCCCAAGGGATCAGCCTGGACGAGGCCCAGTGGTCCACACCTGGTGTCCTGGGCCCGGTGACGCTCCCCACCACCTCGCCTGCTGTGGTCACTGCCCCCCATTCCATCAGTCGTCCCTCCACAACACTGGGCCATTCCCTGCTGCCCAAAGCCCGCAGCTCCTCGAACCCAGGTTACACCTGGTCACACCTGCTCTTTTCTCTCCCTCACCTGGCCTCAGTCTGGGCGGTGGTGCTCTCACCTCCTGCCCACCCCCGCCAAGGCCCCCGAGCGGGCCTGCCCCTGCCATCCTTGGGTCGTGCCCTTGGGCTCTCAGCCACCAGCTGATCAGCCAGGGCGTGTGGAGGCTCCATCTGCCTGGGCAGGACTCCTGGGAGGGACACAGACTGTGTGGGCCCGGCCCCTGCACCCGGACTCTGAGTCCTCCTCCACTACCCGGGCTATAATCCTCCCCTGGCCAGGCAGACGAAGGTCTGGCTAATCTGGCCTGATGCAGGGCTCTGCCGGCGAGACCCCTCTACTGCCCAGAGGACCTGGGTGACCCCTTCCCCGCCTCCGACACTGCGTGACACAGGTGGCTGCAGAACCGCAGCCGCCACGCAAAGCCAGGGCACCCCAGGGCCACAGGACACTGTGGAGGAGTGTCCAGCTCTGGGGGTGGCCATGTCACCCCCACAGTGCAGCTGAGCATTCTGGATGCATGCAAGGGCCCCAGGTGACTGCCAAGCTGGGTTTGAACACATGACAGGCCCCAAACCCAGACGGCTCAGCCTCCTAAACCAGGACGCAAGGGGCCCCTCCCCTCCCACCGTCCCCCAGCTCGCACCCCTACTTCTGGTGCAGCTGTGGACAGCCCTGGGCCTCGGCAAAGGGGAAGGTCAGCAGACCAGCACAGAGTGGGTGGCACCCTGCCTGCCACCCCCTATTAGCTCCCCAAA